CATACATACATACATACATACATACATACATACATACATACATACATGTGTGTGCACATGTATCCTTGAAAATTCTCAATAAAACAAGATGTTTGACTCCCAACAATAAATCACAGCTTTTAATAAGGACAAAAAACAACAAAAACACTAAATAGGTAATAAGTTACGTTCATTTACTGACCTGCCTCTGTTCAAAGCTCACCTTAAAACGCATTTGTTCAGAATGGCTTTTTGCTCGTAAAATCTCTGTATACCGGGTTCTGTCACCAATGTATTTGTCTTTGTATATTTCGATAGTTTGATCTGTTTTTATTCTGTAAAGCACTTTGGTCAGCTCCGGCTGTTGTAAAGTGCTATATAAATAAACATTGATTGATTGATTGATTGATGGGAATAAGCGGTATTGATAATGGATGGATGGATGATTGATTGATTTGTCTACTTTTCCTGGGTTGGACTTTTGATAAATTTGCTTATAGGAGAAAGTCTCCCCTCAGAGTAAGGGGTAAGGTGACGGTTAGAGTGAGCTATGCAACACTAATGTCCACCTGTTTATCTAAATTTCCTTTCAGAGTCATTCTCATCCTCGCTCATCCTGCTTCCGTACCAGCAAGCATGACGACCAAATCCAACAGCGGCGTTCTGGGTGGCAAGGCGCCATCTTCTCTCCTCCTGTCCTCGCAACCCCGTCAACGTCTGGTCACGAAAGACGGACACTGCGCGCTTCGCCCCCCGCCGTGCCGGGCGGGCCGCTGGCACAGGGCCTGGAGCCGGACCTGGCTGCTGGCCCTGCTGGACTTGTGGGGACTGTTGCTGAGCCTGCGCTGGAGGTGGGTCCTCCTGGCCTTCTGCGCCTCCTTCCTGGCCCACTGGCTGCTGTTCGCCTGCATGTGGTACCTGTTGGCCCACCTCAACGGAGACCTCACCGTCAAGGACCACGACGCGCCGCCGCAGGGCCACGTGGTCTGCGTCAAACACATCACCAGCTTCACCGCCGCGTTCTCCTTCTCGCTGGAGACGCAGCTGACCATCGGCTACGGCACCATGTTCCCCAGCGGGGACTGCCCCAGCGCCATAGCGCTGCTGGCCGTGCAGATGCTGCTGGGGCTCATGCTGGAGGCTTTCATCACAGGTACCACTTTCCAAAGTTTCCACCACTCTTTCCCACACTTTCCCATACTGGATGGATTTTTACTAGTAGTCAAACATGAAGGTAGTCCTTGGTCTGCAGTAGGTAGAAGGAAGTGCACAATTTCTTATTGGGGGAGTTCTACCAACAGCTAATAAGATATGGGACAAAAGAAGAGCTTATCATCCATCAAAATAGATCATAAATTGATTGCATAATGGTTGAGGCTGTACAAATATTTCTAGAATGTTTCAGTACTGTGTCAGATCATTGTTTTCTTCATCACTTTCTCATCTGACCAACATTTATTACTGAGGCTGCCTTCTTTACTTTGCCTCTGTCTCTTCTTTCTAAATCAGAAAGCTTTAACGTCCATGCAAATTAAATTTTAGTCATTTCCTAAAGCGGGTAACACAAGTTGGCATAAAATTATATCCTACAGCTGTCATTTCTGAGCAGATTGCTGCTTTGACGCTAATTGTACTGACATATAAAGACAATATTCTAGTTACATTTCCTGCTTGAATACAACATGTAATTAAACACGTTTTACATACAAGTAATAAGTAAATTCAACATGTTCTTGCATTTATTACAACAACGTTCTGGGTTTCAGATCATTAGAGATGAGCATTCTGAAATATCTAAAAATATTAACTCCAGCATGCGGGCCCATTATTTACAACTGCTTTAAACAATGTTTAAGCTGCATGAAAATACTCAGCTCACTTTTTACTGGAGACCAGATTCCTGATATAATCTGAGATCATTGTAGTTTTACCCTGGATATTGGCTCTGATTCTCACGGGCCAGCAGCATCCCTCATTCTGCTTAGTGTACAGTCTCAGGGCATTCTAGGGGTTTGCGTTGATACTATCGATTCCACTATTGATAGTCTGATTTCTGACCTGAGTCAGTGATACTAGTACGATAAGATTTATATTTTTGTTGCAGCAGCAGTTTGTCTTCCATTCGTCCAGCTAAAAATTCTAATTTCCTCACAGAATTCAGGCTAGTAGTTTTTCTGCTGCTCGCTCAGCACACTTATGGTGGAATTTTCTCAGTTAATGCTAACTCTGATGATCTGGCAACTCTTTCTTATATCCTGTAAAAATATTGAGTGTGATCTAAAGTGTGAGACATATATTTATTTACCTCATTTCCATGTCATGGCATCATTGATGATATAATATTGTAATGACACACTGGATTCCAAAAAAAATCTAGTAAAGAGATGGTTTCCCTTTATTTGTTTAAGTTTTCTGACCCTTTTCTGAATTAATGTACACAAATAATAAAAAAAAAGAAAATCAGTAAAAGGAATAACAGCTAGAACGGACCAAATAAAAATATTGAGGGTTTGGAGTGGTTGAGAACAGCTGTTTATATCTTTAGACTTCATATTTTATTTATTTGATTATTTGATTTGCCAAGAAGTCATCAGTTGGCTCAGCTTTTGTCTGTTTTGCCAGGCAACAAGCTGACCTCTATCCAGGTCCACTTTTAAGGATAGCCTATTCATTATTCAGTATTGGTATGTGGAAACTCCATTTGATGTGTTTTGTGATACTTTCAACCCTTTTGTTTCAGTATGCTGACTTGCTGCAATTGTTTCATCATCAGTTGTAATAATATGTTTTCTATTTTCTTCTTGTTCAACATATTACTTGCATATGTGATTTAACCTCAATCATTACTTTGGTTCTAGAAAGCTAAATCAACTATTGAAATGCTGAATAACAGATGTACAAAAAAGATGTTAATGATAAGGGCAGAAGTTATCCTTCCAGAAAAACATCATAACTTGATTTGACTTGAAATGATTTTGGGAAATCTGCTTCCCAAAAAATGATAAATTGGTCATAACTTGCTCCACAAGTTCATTTGATTTTAAACAGACTCATGTTTTTTCTGTAATCTAGTTTTCTCCAAAACAGTCCTACGAAAAACACAGCCACTGCCAGTGATGTTTACAGTTTTTAGTTTCAGAATTTTAATTTCATTTGCATATTTGAACATTCCAGTTTCATGAAATTAAACTTGGTAGTAATTCCCCAATCTTACGGAAACCAGTAAACGGACAAATAATCGTGATTAAATACCTCAAACACAGCTCAGTTGCTTAAGTGACACATGACAACAAATCCATACATAAACTCAGGGATTTTGTGTCCCTATCTGATTCAAATTTGAACCCATCACAAATCTTCCAAGGAACTATACAGGCTGGAGGCAGCCAAAAACATTTAGACCATATTTAGATAATTAGAGTAGTAATTGTGTGACAGCATTTAGTATGAAGTAGAATTGTGTGGAACGTCCATTCTTTTTTTAATTAATATTTTTATTCGTGTGACAAGGTACAAACAATGAAAATAATGAAAATAAGGACTTTTTTTTTTTCATTTTTACAAAAACAACAACCCCTCATTCCCTCCCTTACCCAGCCCTCCCCAATCCCACAACATTATGCTACAAATCAGTAATAACCCACATCCTTCCTTCTTACGGTACAAAAACATGTGAATAAAAAAAAAAAAGTATATAGGCAATTAAAAAAAGAGAGAGCAGCAAGTACAACACAAATAAATAAACAGAAAACACCGCAAAACAAAACTGAGAAGTGATCCATTCTAATATTCTAATATCTGTAGCGTTGTGGAAAACACCTTGTTTACCAGTTACATGAAAGTGTAATTTTCTCTCGTAACAGGTGCATTCGTAGCCAAGATTGCGCGACCCCAGAAGCGAGCGGGAGCCATCCAGTTCAGCCCCCAGGCGGTGGTGGGTCAGCACCAGGGCAAGAAGTGCCTGATGGTGCGAGCCATCAACCTGCTGCAGCGCCCCCTGGTGGACGTGAGGGTGAGCGCCGTGCTGTACGAGGAGCACGAGGGCCAGGCCCTGCACCAGACCTCTCTGGATTTCCACCTGGACCACCTGGGCCAGGAGCCGTGCCCCTTCTTCATCTTCCCGCTCACTTTCTACCACCCCTTGGACTGCCGCAGCCCCCTCTTCTCCCCCCTGTGCGAGGGCTCGTCCCACCACTTTGAGCTGGTGGTCTTCCTCACGGCCCTCCAGGAGGGGACCGGCGACTCCTGCCAGAAGAGGACCTCCTACCTGCGTCAGGAAATTCTTTTCGATCACCTATTCGTGCCCGCCTTGGGGTTAGATGCCAAGGGGAGATACATGGTGAGCGCTCAGCACTTCGACACGGCCAATCTAAAGGAGGCTTTCAACAAGGACTGTGTGGTGCAGATCAACGGCGACGGCAACGACAGGATGGAGTAAGGATGGTGAACACCAAGTCGTTTTAAGGACAGCGGAAAGTTTTTTTTGGTGCACATTGGTATTTTAATGGATTATATTCGATTGACTGAATTATCGCTTAAACGTTTCTAATCAAAATCTGAGTCAGAGATAGGCAGTGCTGTTAACTCCCAATTTATGCTTTTGCAATTTTGCTTGCATTTATCAGTCTGTACCCACAGCTTCGAGAATTTCAGTTCCTCCCCTTTTCCTCATTTTTGTTTTTAATTTGTTTATGCTAAGATGCAAATGGAGGTTAGAGGGTACAGCCGCAAGTAACGATAATGGGAAGCAGCAGGTATTTACCAGAAAGAGTCCTTTGTTGAAAGTGGTAATCTAAGTGAGAAACAGTCATACTAAAACCATAACAATGTTGTTACTAATCCATTGTTTTTTGTTACAGCTTATTCCTGCATTTGATCAAATCTATGATAAATAAGCTCCAGTGTTCATGACTTAGAATTAGTACTTGATATAGTATTATCAAGACACTGGCCAAATTTAATTTATGTATATACCTTAAGATTAAGATGCTGTTTTGTCAAGGATACAGCTGTACAAACTTTTTCAAAGTTCTTTTTATATACTTCTTTTCTCCTCAAGGTGTATAAGAAATAATTGAGACTTTTTGTCAAAAAGATATATATTGATGTAGGTTTCTGAGTCATGTATGAGAAGACAGTGAAGAGAGGAGACAATGTTCAATAAAAATATGGAAATCAGTAGTGTCCTTTAATTTGCAACAACCAGGGAAAAATCCTCACTCTGTTTGATCATCTGGATTGTGTTCCTGTTTGCTCTAGACTTCACTTTTTTCATGATTGCATTCAAACCGAAATGTGATTGCTTATCTTTCTGGCCAAAGCATGAAAACCCATTTATCCGTCAATGGCAGCATTTAAATGGCCAAAAATGTGAAAAATGAATATCAATGTTGCAAACAAACGTTAAAGATCATGTAGTTTAAACTTTTCTATACCAAATATGCATTTTGGACTTCATTCATTTCTAGTTACCCACGAGTTTTCATTACTTCTGACCAGGTCATTATGGACATAGATGTGGAGTATATATGTCTTGAGAAGTCTTTTGGGGTATCTCATTTTAAAAATATTCTGTAAACATTTATTTTCCTGGATTAACTCTCATCCTCAGTTTTGTAAATGCTCATCATGCATAGTAATGTTCAAAAATAGACTGTAACACTGTTGTTTGCTTACTTCTCAACATGGTTTTCCTCTGGTTCCAACAATTTTGAATCACTCTTTGTTTTATCTTGACCCATTGACCAGTTTGCTTTGGGATTAAGGACTTAATGATGACTGCATGGTGGTGTGGAAGTTAGGATCATCTGCCCGGATCAAAACACAGCTTTCTGTGTGAAATTTTAACATTTTACCCATCTATGATGATTAACTGCATGTTTTCTTAAAGCTTTGAAAACAGAATTGCGATAATAAATATGGCAGCAGTGACATTTTCTATAGCATAACCTACCACAACAACTTTTTCCACCTGATTGGGACTCTTGATAAAAAACTTACAATGACAAAAACTTACATTTGGTTAGGTTATCATTATTGGGAATGGGCGGATTCATAATTAGTCTGACATTTGTTTACATTTTAGTTAGTGTGATTTAATCACAAAACAGTGTGAAGTTGCCTGAAAATGGAAAGTGCAGACGAATCAATTCAACCAGCCTTAAAATGACCATCGTGTTTAGTTATAGATTTGTTACTCATATTAACATACATGGATGTTATAGATTACATTACAACATTACATTAAGATGCCATGACTCACTGCTAAGCTTCTAAAGTAGAATACAAAATGGGTACCAGTAAAATGGACTTTGATATCTCCACATGGGCCAAACAGACTGCAAAAACTATCATTTATCTGTGTTTGGACATTCATTATTTCATATTCTCATATTTATGAAACAACAGAAATAAATAATTTTAAAAGATGCTTGAACATACTGAGAACTCAACACATTCACTGGTTGTAATTCCACAGTGAGTTTTACGCTGCTACGGTTCTAATTTAAAGACTAATGGAAACATTGACATTCATGGATATAACTAGCTATCAAACTAACTTGTGTGGAATATCACTTTGAAATGACTGATGAACTTATACTTCCCATTGATTGTTTCAGAAATTGATGCTATTTGTGTGGACAAATCATTGCCTATGAACTTATGCAAAGCTAAAATTTGATATACTCAATCACTCCAATAATGAATGTGTCTTTTTATTTGAAATATTTTTTGCTTTATTAAAAGTTGTTAATGTGACGGTGTATCTATATGCTTTAAAGAAATCATTTCAACAATTCAGGAAATGTTCAACAATACATGATTATGAAGATAGAGATCTCTACAAATCTCACATACTTTAGACCCTTTGTACAGTGTACAACATTAAATAAATATATTTAAACAAACTGATATGTGAAAAAGACTGCAATTCCATTTGGCTCCTGGTGCCTTGGGTCTCTGCATGCTATGGGTCACTGGAAGGGGGATTCCAGTGGCTGTTTACATCCATCACTGAGCACAGTTCATGTAAGAGCTACATCACATTTTGAGCATGTTCAAGCGCAAACACAAACTTTACTGCTCATAATATATTTGTCCCGCTGACCTGTAGTTTGTGCATCGGTTTGTTCCATGTTCTTGCTGCTTGTGTTGTTACGAAATACGTTTTTGGGGGTTTCTTTTGTTGTTAGTTTTGTCTCCTTGTTCATGATTGTCTCTCCCTTGTTTCCCAATGGAGGCCTTAGGAGGATTGCAGTAGCAACTGGTTGCTGGGGTTTTTAAAAAGTGTTCTTTGTATTTCTCTATATTTCCCCATATTCAGTCTCTGCACATCCAGATGACCCCATGGACAGTGACCTGAACGGAACGAGCACATCAAATCTGTAAATATAAAAGCTTCTAAAAGCTGCATGTGTATAACCACACAGTCAGGAAGTGGACACCTGAGGCCAGTCAAATCCTGAAGTCTTATTTTGGCCACACAAACTGAAGTGTACTGGTAGAGGCTCTTGTTGATGATGGACAAGATGAAGAATTAACAAGCCACCATCTTGTGGCTGAATCACAGACTACATGAACTTCTGTATCCTCCCAGTTAAGGCTATCTGCTGCCTCCCTAACCTAACTAAAATCGCATGATAAACCAGGAAAAACAATGACATCAAGCGGCTTGTTGACAGGAAGAAACATACCTTTAGGGAAAGTGATGGGGAAAAGCTCCAACTCCCTCCCTTTGGTATGTCAACATTAAAAAAATGACCACCAACTGAAGAAAATGGTCATCAATTTCCGCAGGTCCAAGTATAACACCCCCCTTCCAGTAAACAATGACAGGGTTTACAGAGTTGCTTTGGACTTACAGATTCCTCAGTGTCCACCTGGACTGGACTGGTCAGCAAACTGTGATGCACGGTTACATTTTTGTGTGTGAATAAACAAACATGTAAAAATGAGTGGAAGTCATAAAAGTCATCAGAGAAGAAAAACCTGAACAGTCCTTCCATTGTTGATGAGTTATGATGGGCTTGTAATCAGTGACCAAACAATGGTGGAAAAAGCATGATTCAAAAGGAAAAAAAAATCCTGTATTATTTTCACATCACGAATTTTAAAAATGCTAATTAAAAACTAGGACAGTTTCCATTATGCAGTTAACATTAAAGGAGCTTTTTATTTTTTCAGACTCATCGTAATTACAGTACACTACAACAACAAAAAAATAGATCACAACATATTATTTTGTAATAAGCAATTTCATCTTTTACTTTAGTTCATTAAATCTGTGAAATGTTGTTAAATTCTATATATTTCCATATTTACCACATGAGAGATAAAACTTACCAGCCTGTCTAAAAATAAAGATTTGTTACAGCATATTCATATTAGACATTGCAGATACAGGGAATATACATACATATTACAATGCTGACAGAGATTCTTTTTGCACCAAATTCTAATTTGTGAAAATAAATTACCTATATCAGTCAAAGAAATAAACATCCATATCCTTAAGTTTATATGTCAGTGCTGGATAAATCGATATATTTTCATTGGCATTCTATTGGATGATTTCTTTGTCAAGTGAAAACAGCAATGGAATTTAATTTGTGTCATATTTTTTAAAAATATAGATTTATTCTTGTTGAAAACAAATAGTGGTTTCATTACTCTGTGAAAATACCATTTGTTTTTTATATTATTTCTTTCTTTTGAGTGACTTGTAGGCCTTTAACTCCATAAATTGACCAGCCTGTTTCCGTTGACATTTTCTGTGAATACAGTCAAATTTAATACAGACTGAAGTCTGAGTTTGGAAAATTCTGCCATGCTGTCCTAAACGGAACACTGAAAGAAAAAATAATTGATTTTCTCTCTTTTGTGCAGTTGTCAGTCCGCCTTCACCAAAGAGACTTTATGCTCATGCAAAGTTGTGTGTTTTCTTCATGGAGTTAACAAGTCTACCTCAAAATTCCACTTTCCAGTCTTAGAATGAAAGTGGAAAGTCAATAGCACTATATCATTACATAACTAAGTTCCCGCATATCTATAATGGTGACTTATATCTTTAATTATCTAAATAAATTAGAGAATTCCACCCAAAACTACTGCCATGCTGTAAATTTTTCTCCTGTGTTGTGATGTTTTTAATGTAGGCTTCATTGCCACCTACTGGTTGGATATTAGACCATTTTAATCTCTGAGGAAACTGTTTAGTCCTTCTCTGGAAGGATATTACCATTAATTCAATTCAAGATCAACGTGCTAAAACGACAAGCCGCTGGACCCGATAACACAAAATAGCAGCAGCAAAAGTAAAAAAAAACATCTGTTTTTTTAAACATTTGATTATTTTAACAAGTAAACATTTGTCACATTTTCAAATCTGTTGAGATTTCTTCGGAAACAGATGTAAGAACCATATCAGTAAACAAATAAGCATACGTACAATATACCGAAACAAAAAAAAAACACTTCAATTTACATTTAGTTTTTATAGTTAGTTATATCTAGTTCAATAACAAGCCGCCCTCAACATTTGGTGGTGCAAATGTGAATATTTGAAATTTGTTAAAGGCCAAGGAAAGTATGCTGTGTTTGGTCAGTAAACTACACCAAGACTTACTGTCATAGCTGAAGTTTGTGGAGGCAAAAAATCTGTAATCTTAGTGTTTACTATTTTACGATCATTATTACCTTTATCCTTCTTTGTGGTATTTATGCTATATTTGACTATTTTACGTAGCCCACAATAAGTGTTTTAAAGTTAAAAAGGAAACAACTTTGTACGGAAAAAACAAGACCAAAGTTGGATTTTAAAGCTGCTTCGTGAACAATGTGAACAATGTGAAGTCAGAAAACTAACGACACTAACTAAATAATCCCATGACAAAACGGTTGAGAAGCATTTGGGAGATTTGTCGGATTGTTTTTTGCATACACATTGTCTTTAAATAATCTCTTAAATATCCAGAATGACTGAATATGTGGTATGTGATGTGTAGTGTATCTTTCCCCAAGCATATCCATTTTTGCATAAGTCTATTTTGCTACCACTTACTATGGGAGTACTCTGGGGATGTTAGGGATAAGTAGTATTTTAAACCCTTAAGAGGTTTTAAGAATTGTTAACTGATAAGGTCAGGAGCAGAAAGTCGACTGCAGCTGCTTGAAAGCAGCTTGTCGCTGCTTTTTGTCCTCCTCTTCTCTCAAGCGCGCCTCTTTTTCCTCTCGAATCTCAGCCTCGAACTTGCTCCCGCGAGACAAAGCCTGGGCCTGATGACACAAAATGGCAGCAGTTGCACACATTTCAAGAATATATGTCATCCTAAAATAACAAGTAACTTTTCATTAATAGCTCACCGTCACTTTTAAACCTCATATTGTATGACAGAGTTTTAGGGTTGCTTTTGGGCAAGGTTCCTCTACTACTGCTACTTCCCTAAAACCCAATAATAATTTTATATCTGCTCTGCGACTTTGTGTGGATGTAATGACAGTTTTGTGCACTTGTAACTATGACATTGTACTTTTTTCTCCCTTCTCTAGTCACAGTTCCTGACATTTTCATTCTGTATTTTGCAGCATATGTGTGTAGGCAGCAAGAGTAGGAAGGTATTTGTACATAGCAACAATGACACATTTCTGGACATGTAATTGTTGTGTTGAGATTGCACCATAGAAAAAAAATCTTCCTCTGTTGATGAGTCATGATGGGCTTGTAAACTAAACAATTGCAGAAAAAGCATAATTTCAAAGAAAGCATAATTTATTTTAAAATGCTGATTTATAACTTGGAAATTTTTTACTACCATTTAACATTAAAGGAACATTTATTTTTTTCAGACTAATTGTAATTACAGTACACTACAACAAATAAACTAGATAAAAGCATATCATTATCTTATAATAAGCAATTTTCTCTTTTAATTTTGCTATTTAAATTCTGTGAAATATTGTTCAATTTTACATATTTCCATAGTTGCCATGTAAGAGATAAAAATGACCAGCCTGTCGGTGGTCGAAAAATAAAGATTTGTTACAGCATAGTCATATTAGACATTGAAAATACAGGGAATATACATTTTAACCTGATGTTATGCTGACAAACAGATGTTTTTTCTCATACAAAATGATAAATGTTGAAAATCGATAACCGATATCAGTCAATGAAAGAACATCCATATCCTTAAGTCTATATGTCATTACTGTGACTTCCAATTGAATTCTACACATTTGTAAATGTCGTGTGCAGGACCATAATTAACTGCCACAAATGCTCATAGATATTATCACAGGAATGCCTCATAGCTAGTTTGTTAAAGCACACAAAGTTAGAATCAATAAACAACTGTATGTGTTAAGCTTTATATTACATTATGTGCGCTGTAGAATCTGAGAGCACATCAATATGAGTTAAAGTAAAAGCCAGAACTGAATAATGACCCGGTGTGAAGGTGTATGTCAATCCAATCAAAGGTCCAAAGACACGATGTGCAAAAAATATCCTACCTTGGCTTCAAAAAAGTCCTTGGCCCCCATCACTCCCTCAGTGGAGACGTTGATCTCTGACAATCTGGCGAGAGCCATCAGGCCGCTTTCTTCCTGTAACTCTCCAGCCGCTGCCCGACGGAAGATCAGGAGGAACTGGGAAAACGAAGATACAGTCGGTGATTTAGCAGCTGTTTTTTTCTCGACACTCGACGCTTTTTCTCGACAACATAGCGATATCCTTTCTTTGTCTTGATCAAATTCAGGCCAGCATACCTGAGTGATATAGACATACACTATATTAACTATATCGCTGTATCAATATCGTTAACTCTTTAGGGAAGGCTGCCCTCGTGGTTTTAAGAATTTTTGGCCATTCTTCCAGAAGTGGACTTGTGAGGTCATATACTGACCACTAATGTCTTCATGGACGTTTGGGTTTTGCTGTGAGCTGTCATGTCAGAAGAGGGAGGAGCCCTGTCCAAACCGTTCCCATAAAGTTCGAAGCATGGAATTGGGCAAAGTTCCTGGTATGCTGAAAGGCCAAACCCGTTGAAAATAGCCCCACGCCATAATCCACTTAACTTTACACTTGGCACAATACAATCAGACAAGTATTGTTTTCCTGGCAACCACCAAATTCAGACTTGTCCTTCAGAGTGCAAGATGCAGAAGCACCCCAGGTAATGTGCTTCCACACACATTATATATATATATATACAGTAAATATATACAGTAAATGAGACATATGCATTTGTATGAAAAAAGTTAGGGCACCCATGCCAATTTCTGGGTTTTCTGAATCAGCAACTCCATTTTGATTCATAAAAAAACTGATGACATAGTAATATCTCAGTTGTAAAGTGGGGTTTACTTGGTTTAACAGTAAATGTCTAATATACATAAAAAAGCACAACAAAAAAGCACATCAGAATTCAATAAATCCCAAATAAAATCCCCTAAACACTTCCAAAAGCCTGTAATTAGCGTCTGCATTCTGGATATAAAGGTGTTTTGGACCATTCTTCCTGACAAAACATATCCAGTCCCGTCAGGCTTGATGGCTCTCTGAGCATGATCTGACCACTTGAAACCATCCCACAAATTTTCAGCGATATTCAAGTCGGAGGACTGCTTGGCCATTGCGGAAAATTGTATGTGTTCCTCTCCATCCACGACTGAGATTTTGAGCAGTGTTTTCAGTCATTGTCCCGTTAAACAGACCCGGTAAAACCTAAAATTTGTGACAGGTTCTTGAACATTTTTCACTTTCTGACCACTCTTAGAATCTTTCGTCTCTGCTCCAGTGAATTTCCCCACTATGGGATCAATAAAATGCTTTAATCTAATGTAATTCTTCCAAGGCTGCCGCTTCTTCTCAGGGGTAACTGTGGCCGAAGCATTTAATTTCCTCACTATATTCCTCACAGCAGTGGTTTGTGTTGAGGTCATTTTAGAGTTGTTTCGAGTCGCCCTTGTTACCAATCAACGAGAAGAGTCAACGCGAAGAACAACGTGAACATGGCCATTTTGAAAACTTTCTCTCCTGATTATATTTCAGAGCAAATTTGTTTTATACTTAACCCTCCTGTTATGTTGCGGGTCAAATTGACCCGTTTTAAAGTTTGAAGATCTGGGAAAAATAGTTAAAAATATTTTTTCAGTATGAAACTTCTTCTGCTTGCCTTAAATAGTGTAATCAACATATAATATGAAAATGGTTCATCTCACATATTTGCAACCACCCCCTGCATATTTATATCACATAGATACTGTTCGGGTCAATTTGACCCAGCAGTCAAACTGGAGGTAAAATGGTGTCAGAAATGTCAGACTATTTCTTTCTTTGCAACTGTGAGACATGTTTAACCCCAATCTCACTCACACACACACATACACACACACACACACACACACACACCTATACACACACACACACATACACACACACACACACACACACACACAGAGGAGGATGTGTCTGAAGATGAAGACTATCTTGAGCTAAATTCTGATTCTAATGATTATGATTTTGAACCTGATGATGGAATTGCTATTCCTATTCCTCCAAACATGGCATTCATGTAAAAAAATGGTGAAATACAGTGGTCTTCATCCCCAAATATGCGTCAGGCAAAACTGTCTGCAGAAAACATAATAAAGACAGTGCCAGGGCCCACTAAGATGGCAGTGACTCATGTGACTGACATGAAGTCAGCTTTTGAGCTGGTCATGCCGGATTCAATGCAGAAAATCATTTGGGAACTGACTAATCTTGAAGGGAGGCGTGTTTTTGGGGAGAAGTGGAAGGAGCTGGACAAAAGGCGTTTAGATGCGTATTTGGGGTTCCTCGTCCTGGCTGGGGTCTGTAAGTCTAAGGATGAATCGACAGCCAGTCTGTGGGATGCAGAGACAGGCAGGGCTATATTTTGAGCCACAATGTCTCTGGAGACATTTCACATTTTCTCCAGAGTAATCCGATTTGATAATCAAGAGACAAGGGCTGGTGGACGGGAGAGAGACGAGCTTGCAGCTATTTGGACAGTGTGGGACAAGTAGGTAGAGCAACTTCCACTCCTCTATAACCCAGGCCCTAATGTCACAGTGGATGAAAGGCTGGTGGCATTCAGAGGTTGCTGCCCATTTAGGCAATACATGCCTTCCAAACCAGCTAAATATGGGATACTAATCTGGGCAGCATGTGATGCAAACACCAGAAATGCATCTAACATGCAGGTTTACACTGGAAAGCCGGTTGGAGGAGCCCCAGAGAAGAATCAGGGCACAAGGGTTGTGCTCCATATGGCACAGGGTCTCAGGGGACAGAACATAACCTGTGACAATTTTTTCACAAACTACAACTTAGGTTAGGAGCTTCTAAAGAGAAAGCTCACAATGGTCAAAACTGTCCGAAAGAACAGGGCTGATCTCCCTGCTGAGCTGCTGGTAATCAAGGACAGGGCCTCTCAATCTTAAATTTAGTTTCAATGTTGTGTAAAACTATTGTGTTTTATATGTTGGTCTTTCAAAAGTAATAAAGTGGTGAAACATTAAAAAAAGTTTGAACATGCAGTTTAAAAAAAAAAAAACGAGTGAATTATCATAATTGGATCATTACCTGTTAGAGGTAACAAAGACCATTTCACTAAATATTGATAGAGTAGTTAGTAATGGAGTTAGTAATGAAATATTAACAATGCTTGTTAGGATTTTTTTGGTTTCAGACATCTTTTGTATAATTAAACATGCACCGGGTCAAACTGACCCGGGAACAGCATTGCTGTACCTAAAAAATGAACATAACAGGAGGGTTAAACAGTGAAATCATTTCAGACCTGTAGACACCATCTCACCTCTCTGAAGCTCAGTTTTCCATCAAAGTCTTCATCAACCTCTATGATCATGCTCTTGAGCCCGAGGTGAGTCTGTGGAGCTCCCAGCTTCTCCATCATTAGTTTAAGCTCCATCAGGTCAATGAAGCCATCTTTCCCTGTGTCATACCTACAAATGACAAAAAGCAAATAAATCATTCAATGAGCAAATATCAGTGTTCAGTAATGTCTCTTGATACTTTTAATCCAAATATGTTCATGGTGCTACAGATGTTTGTTAAGAAAAAAACAAGAAATGAATCCTATTGAAAAACGGCCAGAAAAAGGTGACAAAGAAGATCTATTAAAGAAAACATTTTCCCATGACACCATATTATTTGTAATCTATTTTATTCCCTGTCTTGTGATTATAGACATGATATAAATACATGAATACACAAAATGACGTTTATCTTAAGTACGACATCAGGATGTCGTAATTACGAGAAAAGATAACCTAAATATTTTCTCATATAGATATAAGGTGTCTAATTTTTTTATCCAGTAAATGGAATTAGCTTCGTACCTCTGAGTACACAAAATAAAAGTTGGTAAAAAAAAAAAATACAATTAAGAGTTTAAACTCAAACAAGCTACGACACGACAAATGATTTGTTCGAATAGAAATATACGTTCCTTTATTAAAATATTGCCTTTATTTGATTTAATCTCGCTGTGCTGGTCTGGCGTCAGGTTTTCATTTTCAAAATGTTTTGAATCAGGGTGACAAGCGACCGACACCATTTTAGTAGCATCTCGTAAGAAAACACCTCGTAAGATACGAAAGAGGAGAAAATGTGAGCAAGACCGGCTGAAAGCGGCCTCGGTTTCAGTCCCCCGTCGACTGGGCTTCAGCCTCAGCACCACCAGCTTCAGCCCGAATTTTTTGGGGTAAACAAGCAGGGGAGCCGTTTTAAAACGCGGGTGCCGCAGGACCCCGAACCCCGGCCGCGGGGCCCAGTCCGCGGGACACGGAGCCCCTTCCCCGGCCGCGGAGCCCCTTCCCCTGGCCGCGGAGCACCGTCCCCGGGCCGCGGAGCCCCTTCCCCGGGCCGCGGAGCCCCGTCCCCCGGCCGCAGAGCCCCGTCCCCCGGCCGGCCTTACCGCTTGAACATCGCCTCCATGTCCTTAATCTGCTGGCGGGAGAACTCCTTGAATTCCGTGTAGGGGTTGAAGATGCGGACCGCCTGAGGGGCAGCAGTCCCGTCGTTGATGTCCAGCCTGCGGTTCAGCTTGGCGAACAGCTCGCACGGAGCATCGCCACCGCCTTCGCCGCCTCCTCCGCCGGTTGCTGCGTCGTCGTGCTCCGGCGCTTTGGTCCGGACCGGGCTCGGCTCGGTTCTGGGCACCGGGCCGTCCCCGTCCAGCGCAGCGGAGAGTCGGGACTGCAGCTTCCGAGCCAGCTCGTCGGATGCCATTGCGGAGCAGACGAGAGAGTCCGAGATTAAGCTATCAATTACAACGGTGCACGGACTAAATGTCCTCCTCCATCAATCGCCCTCGAGCTTTAAAGGACACGGGTTTCCGGTCACTCTCCAAAATAAGAGCACGGCCCTCTGTTTCCGAACCTGTTCTGTCCAAAAACATTTATCCCAATCCTTTACAAAATCCTACGTTTTGTTTTCCTCATTTCTGTTTGATCCATATTTGACTGATAAGTCTGGTTTATTTCAAACGTAAATTAAATCTTACATTAATAAATCCATTGATCAAAAAAATAATAATCATGAAATAACTGATGGAGTCCATAGTTACATACTCAAATATTCTGATTTGGCTGTATTCATTTTATTTGTTGTTCAGCCATCCATTTTGTATAAGTACTGGTGTGGTAAGTGTGGTTGTGACAAGAAGACTAACATCTAGGGCCATCAATATTATTATGAATTCAAATACTAGTAGTACTGATAAAAATAATATCAATAGACATCTTGATGATAGTACAAATAATTCACGATATTTCAGATCTTTTGGCCCGAGATTGTCACACTATCACACACTTGTTAAATGCTATGATCCGTTTAACATTTGTCTCTATCGAAACAGAGGTCATCCATTCCAGAAACTACAGGAGTCCTTTTGGAATGTAGATCAGAGCCATACATAGATCTAGCTTTTAAATCTGACTATACTAGTGTCCGTGCACCACTGCATTTGTACATGCACAGTCTTATACATCTGGCCCTAAGGCTTTACCCATGCTTGGGTAAATATAAAGTAAAAGGAGCTGCAAAAGATCTTACACTGTTGAATTATTAACTTAAGAGAAATAGAAAAAGGGGGGGGGGGGGGGGTAAAGTATGCAAAATATGTATTTGTTGCAGTCCAACAGTCTGGCCATGATTTCAGGGTCATTCCTTATGTTTGGAATGTATGTTTCTGTGTCTGACAGTCTAGTTCCAAGAGAAAATCATTCATTCATAAGCATTAATTGTGACTCTACAAGTGTTGATTTGGAGTTAGGTTGTAAAGCTACTTACAGTGAATAGAAAGAAGTGTATATTTCCCAAATATTTCTTCAATATTTCTTGAAAACAATCATCATAAGCTTACATTCTGAAGATTATATCTCTTTCTATATATATCTCACTGCATACATTGGAGGTCTGATTCAAGCCAATTAGAATCCAAGTAATCGTGATACATCATATTCCAATTGATTGCAATTCATTGGGTTTTAAGTAAGTCAAATTGATATCATTTAAAAAAATGTACTGCAATACTCATCCAAAACTGTCGATAGCAATATAATAGATAAAATAGATGTCGACACATACATGTCGTCATTCCACCGGATTACCTCCAGTTTTGCTTTAGGATTGGAGCCCTTTGTGTGAACCTGACACACTAATGATGCACAAAACTGCACTCTTAAAAATCTGCCTGTATCCTTTCGAGTATTCCAAGCCAATCCATCCAATACACCTGCTGAATCTGAATAAACCTATCAAGTAAAGCGATGAAGTTATAAAAGACTGTGTTAATGTCCCATACATTATGGTGATTAGAAATCAGTGGGATTATGCTCAAAAGTGTTGTAATTTCTACACAGTAGAAACAGAATGCTTGAAAATGACTGTAAATTAGATTTCTTAAAAAGGGAACGTGTGCTCCAATCGAGTCTGAATTGTTTGCTTTAGAGTTTTACGCTGGGATGCAGAGGGTAAACTCCACAGAAAAAGTTACTTCACCTCAAACGTTATGTGGAGCACTGTAAATATGTTTCTGGGTCAGTCCCCTGGCTTTATTTTGTCGTACACTCTATTTGTTAATCTGTTATTAGAGTCAGAAAGCAGAATGGAAGTTCAAAACCAGCAGCTCTTGTGGAGCTGTAAAAACAGTAGGTAATAGAAACTATTATTTAAAAGAAAGAAAGAAAAAACTATTTGAATAAAGAGGAGTAAATACGTATAAACATTTTTTTTTAGTGTATGGGCTTAGTCTTTCTGTTAGGAAAGACATTAGTTCAGTGTTTGGTTGTATTTGCTGCATTAAGGGCAATGACTGCTCTGGAAAAAAAGCTGTTATTTAGTCTGTTTGCTCTTGTCTTTATTGACCTGAAATGCCTCCCTAAGGGTGGGGATGTGAAAAGGTGGTGCCCGGGGTGTGTGCAAGTCCCGGATGATGCTGTGGGCTCCCCTGAGCTTTTCTTCCTGGGTTTCCTCAGAAAGTCGAGTCTCTGCTGTGCCCTCTTCAGGATTGCTGTGCAGTTTCCAGTCCAGTCCAGTCCAGGACGGGAGTTCCCTGATGTATTTGCCCAGGAAACTTAAATCTGGCGCTTAATTCATATAACCTCATTGATTGTACTCACAGATTCCTCCCTAATTTCTGTTCCATTAGAAACACATCATGTCACATTTGTAAACTACATTTTTTTCTTCTTTTTTCCCTCTCAGATTTCAACTAAGAAGAGCTAATGCATTAAACAGTAATGTATATTGTTGGAATACTGGATTTGAACAGATAACTCATACTTTTTCCTTAGACCAAATTATGTAGCTTCCTCTTATAATGAAATGATTTTTGTGTATATATATTGTGAAATTGCGCTTCAGAAAAGAAGAAAAAAGTTGCAGTAAATTCTTCAACTTGCATTATGTATAACATCTATTGATCCATGACATTTCTTCTCAGTCCATGTATGTTTCGGTAATTAGATTTTCCATTCACAGATGAGTCCTAAAAAACTGTTCATTGGATTTTTTCTTCCATTTTTCCTTTTATCTGTTAAAATGGAAATAAAATACTTAAATGCTTTGATTTGGATTATACAGTTACCAGAATGTAAAATAAAATCCCTCATAAACAATTACAAAATAAAACTACCGTTTTAACTGTACTTTCTAATTGGAAGTTGTGTTTTATGTGGAAGAAACAGAAGCTCTGCGGTGGGAGGGAACCATTATACTGCCAGTAAAACTTTATTTGCACTAAAAGCAGAATGTTTTACAAGAGGGCTGCAGGGATTTGCATCCCTTACTTTCATGGACTTGATTAACACTGCAAGTTTGAGGCAAAGAGTCTTTCATTCCCCGCGGTAACAGGTATATTGTGATGCAACCCACTATTAAGGTTCTGTACAATGAAAAAAAGCACTACAGTCTGAATGCTTCATTTTGCCCTTTCAGTAGAAAATATATATTTACATGAACCATATGCAAAGAAAAAATAACTGACATTTGCTCTGCACCAACATCCTAAAGATATTCTTATCTTCTTTTTATTAACTTAATAAGAATTTAGAAGACTTAGGACTCCAATACCCACGTCACACCTAAATTAATTCATAAATTGGAAATTGGAAATTCTTTTATGCAATTTCAAGTGTCACATAATCAAAAATGCATCCTCGTCCAGAATTCTATGTATCAAACACAAGAATAGGATGTTTGGAGTTATTTCAACGTTTCAGGGTGCAGAGCGTGTGGTGGTCTTAACGTTTCTTAACTCTGGTTTTTGAGTAATAACACGTGTGGTTGGTCAACATTCATGAAACAAAAATAAAATGTTCTGGGGAAGACTGGGTTTAGTTGGAAAAAGGCTTAAAACATTGATAAGTTTATGGACATTAAATCTGACATCAAGACATATGTCAGGTGGATTTTTCTAAATAAGGTTTTGTACAGACGGCAAAGCAGCCGAGGCACACGTGCTTAAAAAATAAAAATAAAAAAAGCAACAAAAACATGACCGTTTGCCCTTTTGGATTTGGGCTGATTGTGTGTTGAGAAAGATTCAGCGTCTACCACAGAATCACTTTTTTTCTCTTAAACAAGTTGTTTTTTTTTTACTCGAAACCATCACAATACAGTTAGAATTTGTTTGGCCTCCATTGTTTCAGTAGTTCTTAGATCTGAATACATCTCTTCAGTGTGTGTGAGCAAACTGACAAACTACAGATGAACACCGAGTCCAATATAAGGTCTCTTTGGGGTCAGCTGTGCAGACATTTCCTATTCCCGTTTAGAGCTGTAAATAAAGGTGATTCTAATGAAAAGTCTTTTAAAAACACGGATTCATGTAGTGGCTGCGTTCCTCATTATTGATTTTTCAGAATGGTGATCATTGCATGTTCTTACGCATTCGGTGGGCTTAGTCCACACTAGTTTGGATAACGATTTTTACTTTACGCAACCCTTGTTGCCGAGGAGACGGTGAGCCGATTTGAGTCGCGTAAAAATCAATTTCCTCTGCGACCCCCAATGCAAGCAGAAAAGAAAACTTGCCATTCAAAACAAGCACCTTCTCCATTATAAGCAGGTCTGAGAAAAAGATGAGTGCAAGATAAATGATTGGATACTGAGTGAAGTTGGTAGAGGAGATAAATACTTTAAAGTTCCACCACTGATATGGAAAAGACATATGAATCCAGAAAGAGGTTGACCTCACAGTTTAGATATGACGCTCAGGCCCCCGGCATAGCAAATTACAAAAAAAAAAAACACTTGTAAAAATAAATATATACAAAATAAAGTAATGGTGAACTTGCCAAGGACAGCTCACAGGTTTGCACTCTCATCATTCACTCCAGGCCACTGTAATCTGTTCAAAAACAATCGTGTGATCATTTTTTAACTGAAAGAAAGCAAAAAAAAATAAAAATAGAAATAAAAAAAGAACAAGCGGGGCAGAGATTCAGACAACTCTGTAGATCAGGTAGTCTCGGAGGGGTGTGGGGATGGCCAAAGACTCGACCTGCTGAGTGGTCATCACCCTGCGGAGAGCCATCCTGGACATGTGCTGCAGGCTGGCCACGCTCCGGGGACACTCCCAAAAGTGCACGCTACCGTCCCGTGTCCTGGAATCAAACATAAAGGGGAAAAAAAAGACGAACAGAAAAAAACACAAGTTAGAAAACGCTCAAGTGACACTATCACCGGTGACCACACACTCGAAAAAGGTGTCTTCTTACCCAACGGCGAGAACACTTCCCTCAGCAGAAAAGGCACAGCAGAGGCCATTAGACAGAGGAGCGATGGCTTGAGGAGCCCTTTCCTCAATGCTCCAGAAACGCACCAGCCTGTGAGGGTCCAGAGAAAGAGGACTGCTGTTAGAATTTCACTGCATGGAAAATATGTATGCCTTCATACAAAGGTTTCCTTGTTCCAAATTTTGACCATTGTTCAGGAGAATTGCAACGTCCCCATCTCTTATTTGTCATATTACATTTTTTCTGAGCACCACTTGTGACGTTCAGCCTCTTACCTGTCATCAGTGACACTGGCAATGTGACGGCCGTCAGGGCAGAAGGCCAAAGAGCGAACCCAGCGGTCATTTGAACCTCCAGCAAAAATGGGTGAGGGAGGTGGGAACAAATGACTAAAAAGAGAGAGCATATCAGGGATTTAGTAACGGTAAGTAATAAAGTAGTAAGTCGTGCTGTTTGTTCAAGTCAGTACATTCCATTGATAACTCGCTATGCTGTGGTCAGGACCTAGGGCTAGCGTTAGATAAAATTACTCATAGTTCCTCTGCACGTGATGCTTTTGAACAGTGTTTTAACGAGCGCTGTCGAGAGAATTCCATCTTTAACTGCGTCAAACATTTTCCCTTTTTAATCCAAGTGGAATTTCACTATAAAAACGACAGAGTTGAACCCACCCAGAAAACAGAAGGTTTAAAAAAAAAAAAAAAAGGGGGGTTCAGTTCATTACTATCAGTTGAGTTTCTTGATCAAGTCTTTTTTTCTCCCTTTTTTAATGAGTCAGCGTTTGCAGTGCTTCCTGGTTCAAATCCCTGGGGGACCGGGCTCTTTTCGGTGTCTCTTTCGGAGTCTCTTCTCTTGAAGAGTGACATTGTATTTTTAAACTCTCTTGTGCTTATTATGCCGGGAAGCAACAGTGGGTAACTCAAAAAATCTGTTTGCAGATCACGACTGTAACAGTTGTTTGCGTTTAATGTTGTTTGATGCCTGCAATCTAATGAAGACTAATCTCAATGATTCAGTAACCGTTTCACTTTTGACATTTTTTTCATGGCTAAAATAAAAGACAAGACACATTTTCTTACCCCAGTTCGAGGAGAATAGAGGCCTTGTGGTGGTCCCACACGATCACCCTGGTGTCATAAGAGGCAGTGGCTAAGAGTGCCCCATCTGGTGAAAACTCACAGGAAACCACATCATTGTGGTGCCCTTCCAGCTTCTCTATCAATGTGTATTTATCCATGTTCCACAGAAATACCTGCCAATCGAAGAAAGGACTTGTTGTAGTTTATTTAATGACTAGAATACATAATGTAACATCTTAAATGAATCACTACTATAAGGGCAGCAATTATCTTAAGCAGAAAGAATTAAGAGAATAATTAAACAGGAAATGTATTTTTCAAATGTGTGATCAATGTCAATGCAATGCTTTGTACCCATGAACATTTTGTTAATCTAATAAGACAGTTACATAATCTTATTTATTTATACATTGTCAAACTTACAATTAATGCACTTAAGTGATGCTAGTATTGACAAAATGGTCTACCAACGTATATATATACACACACACACACACACACAAAAAGAAAATGCAGTAACATAATAAAACAAAATTACTCCACTGGTTTCCCCATTCAGAGTTGTAGCTCAATCTGTTTACAATAGGCTTGAATCTGAAGCAGAAGCCTGCGGAGAGAGACCGATACTGCAAGAGAAATACAAACTTTAGGGCCAAAGGCTTGATTCCTCTGGCAAAGTACACCAGTGCATACACACAGTGGTCCTCTGTGGAGAATGTTTTTCGTTTAACAATAAGTCCTGGCCTGAACTTTTAGTATCACAAATCAGCATGAGACCCGTGTAATAGAGAGCTATGTCATTCTTTGTCACTAATTCATTGTTGACTCAATAAAGTGTTGCAAATCTTGTATGCAGTTGTTGGCTTATGCAAGAATATTCGTTGCATGCAAAAGTATTACATAGAAAGTTTTTTTTTTCTGTTGCCAATAGTTTCCCCTTCTTGTTTTTCAAGAGTTAAAACGGAAATAACTGCATAACAGCATTAATCTTACAATCCTAATACATTATTTTAACGAAAACACTGAGTAACTCACTGCTGTTCATAAATTATTGCAAACAGCACACCTACGACCTTTTCCAAAGCATCAAAAGCCAAATAATATCAGCAATTTGAATGCAATTGTACAAATTGGCTCTGAAACTGTTCTGTAAAGACACAAAGAAATGTTTCTGTAATTTTGTTTTACAACAAAAACAATAGTATTAAAAGTTCTTTTAAAAAGAGCTAGTCAAGCGATCACGGAGAGTGGCTCACTCCTGCTGACACATTTCGTGTTAGGATGGATTTCTTTTAGTATAGCTTGCCACTGGCAGCATTATAACCCTGCAGTCTACACTACAAGAAAAGCATTTAACTATTAATAATAAAAAAAAAGGAAAAGACAACAACGCTAAGGTGTGACCGTAAGGTTGTTCAGAGCAGTGTTTCCTAACTCTGGTACTGAAGGCCCACTGTCCAGCATGTTTTTGCAGCTCTGGAGAGGGTTCATGACCACCCCCCTTTTGTTTGAATTAGGCATGCTGGAGCTGGGAAACTTGGGAAAACACGCAGGACAGTGTGCATTGAGGCTGGGAGAGTTGGGAAATACTGGTTTAGAGATAACGGGTTGGAATGAGGTGTGTTTAAGATTGCCTTTATTTCATAGTGGGGTGACAAAATCTAAAGGCAAACCATATAATAGCTTATTCCTATAAGCATGGGTAAAAAAACATGCTTTCGCCTTAGTCCTTGTAAGTCTTTTAGAGGATGGAATTACATTTAGATCTACAGTTAGAATGAAGCAACTCTTAGTTTCAGAGTTAAACTCTAAACTGTGACACTATTGTGTAGTACCGGACTACTACTACTGCTACTACTACCACTACTATGTAGTATGTACTACTACTACTGTGTGGTGTCTAAATTTGGTCCTCCAGGGCTGCTGTCCTGCAGGTTTTAGAAGCGTCCCTGCTTCATCATTCCTGATTCACATCAAGTGTGCCATCAGAGGCCTTGTTCAGATCCATTTCTGCAGAACCAGGCGTGCTGAAGCAGGGAGAGCTGCAGAACAGCGGCCCCTCGAGGACTGGGGTGGGACACACCTGGGCATGTGAATTGCCTTCGTGTGCGGTTCATTTATATGTGTGTGCATGTGTGTCAGAGTAGTTTATCTTTCGTACTTATTTCGTATTACGGAGAGGGGGAAGGGGGGGCGTCCAAATCACATTTTTTTTAATTAAAAACTAAGATATGTAGAAGAACTGCAACAGCAGAAAGACAGACATGGAGCAGCACCTACGTACAGATTGACCTTGTGGGTCAGGTGCCAGGCTGCCCCTGGCCAGGCCTTTGGGCAATGTGCACTGTGCGTCCAAGGTCTATACCGGCTGCTCAAAATGTCAGCGCGGCGCTCCCTTCAAAACCAATCACACACTGAGCTCTGCCACCACCTGTGACAGGGAGAGCAAGACACACACTTGTAGGGACACAGAGCCTAACAAGACTACCACCATGTTCAAACTGAAACAACAGCATTAACTTACTGGTGGTCTGCCCATTAAATCGCTATCTAGAAAACAAGCATTCCTACAGGGATGCTGAGATATTTTAAGTCAAATCAATGTGTAGTCAAATATCCTCTTGAGCCTTGATATTATGCACATTTTCCATAAAGTCATAAAACTTAAATCTGTTTATCATTTCAATTATTTCTTTTCCAAGATTGACAATCTGTAAAAAAAAAAAAAAAAAAAAATGCTTGTCCCTTTTGTCTAAAATTCCATTTCATTTTTACCGTATCTATTTATCTGCTCTGCTTGTAAATTTTATAAAACCAAAGAATCATTTTTTTTTTTGCACAGAAATCAAAATTTCAAACAGAAAACAGATACAAGTAACTGAAGTCATGACTGAGGAGGAAATTGGAGGGCAAGAAAGGAAGCAGCAAACTTGCAATTTGAAGGCTGATTGAGCTCAATGGTCAACAAAAGCAATTGTAACGAATTGTAATAAAACATGAAAAACGTACTGCTTTCCCCATGCCGACTGAGCACAGGGTTTTGGAATCGGGGGAGAAGGCACAGCAGTACACCCAATTAGGATGACCTCTCAGAATCTTCACCATGTTACCTAAAAGACAAAAGAAAGAGATTTAATGATTTTTAGTGATAGACCTAATAAGCAAAAGAGGTTAGAAAGATGAATACTATCTATCTTGTGAGTCATTTAGAAATAAATTTGGATAAAAGAAATCGGGAGGGAGGGGGGTCTTTTCCACACCAAATAGGGAAATTAATAAACCTGGACATTTTCTATTAGCCATTTCTGAGTCCCAGCTGACCATAAAACAAATATGGTTATAACAAATGACATGACATACAATGAATACTGTTTGAGATCTTAATTCAGATGAAATAAAGTTTTCTAAAAATTAAAAAAGACCTGCTCACTCAATAATACAGTTGATCGTGTGCATTCATAGTTTTGAGATTGACCGATTAAGTCTTTCCACATAATCGAATCAACACAATAAGTAAAATGAGTTATACTTCCTCTTTCAAAGAGCTCTTAACATGGCCTCTTCAAAAAATACAGTTTGAACATGAAATGCCACAATAACGTGGTCTTAAAATGAAAGTAGTATAAAAAAATCAAAGTGTTTGGCAAAATCTGATACTTTCCAAAAGTTTCATGTAAGCAGGGATACAGAAAACAATTCTTATTAGGAAATAATAAATTCTCTTTAGGGAGAATTCAACATTGCAAAATATTTAGTTGCATGTACAAACATCCCTTGCTCGTTTTCCCACATTTTCCCAATCCAGCACTCCTGCTTCAAATGGCACAGCCCTCTAGCTCTTCAGGGTCTGCAAAACAGGGCCTGTGTCTGAAGACACATTTGACTGAATAAGTTGTCCTGGAGCAGGAATCATGCAGGACAGTGTGTCCTGAGGAACCGGGTTGGGGAAACACTGCTCTATTCAGATCGAAACATGTGCCTGTTTGGATGAAAACAGCTCATTTCCGGGTGGGAATTAAAGAAACAAACTCTTTCTCAACAGCTCTCTGGTTGTCTTTAAAGCAGCCAGGCTTGAGATTCTCACTCAATCAGATTTGTCATGTAAAATGGGAGCAACTTTTTGGCAGCCCCTGTAAAGACGTGTCCTTTCCAGCAACTTCTGAGCTGTATGTGTCCCTAACCAAGTCAAGGCCTTCAGCGAAGGCTAAATAGAAATAATGTTACGTTCTCTCTGCAGGAGTTGTTCAAATGTTTACCTATTATTCAACACTTCTTGGCGAGTGGGAAAATTTCAAGGTTGCCGCTTTCCACATGTTGCTGCCAGAGGTTGACCTTTGAACGGAATCCCCTGGTTTTTCTGTACTTCTGAGCAGGTTATCTTTTCCACCTTGCATTTGTGTGTTCTGTTCATTCGTAAGGTGAAAAATACCCGCCAGGTTTGCAGGCAGCTTTGCGTAATCGGGCGTATTATTTGCCAGAAACTTCTGTGGCTAGTCTTGCTAGCCACATTGCTGTCACTGCTACCTGTTGCATTCCTGTATCACTAATAATTTTTCTTAATGTAAAACGTAATGCAACAAGTACTGTCAACCGGTGACAAAGAAGAGAATTGCATAACTCAGCTGCCACTCATGACTACAGCAAGAAAAAAAGGCACATTTTCCGTATAATTAAGTTGTTTTTAAAAAAAAGTTGTTTTGGACCAATTCGGTGAAATGAGAATAATTTCCCACAGCACACCTGACAATCTCTCACGGCAAACTTGTGTGCTGCTGCACAGTGTCTGGAAAAGGATGGTGGCACATACTGTGATCGAGCACACAGACCCTAGTTCAAAAGAACAAAACGACTTTTAGGAGATCAGTATGCCCTTAGTTGTTTAGCAAAGGTGTTTATTATTGTGCTTTTCTGAGCGCTTCCTGATTATCTCCTGGATGGACACATAATGTTCTCCGTCAGGCTTTATATATAGCAGATGGAACTTCTGGAAAGTTGGACAAGTTCAGTCATCCACAGGCGTATATTTTGGCGCTGTGGACGGAAGCAATACTGCGGCCGCACAAATACATTGCTGAGGTGTTTATCGTGATGCTCCATGGATTAGGAAACAAGTATGTCCTTCTTAAAGATGGCTTAGTGGCTAATGAGTGGAACTCCTGTTGCTGTCCGATGCCTGTAATGTCAGTGTTGGACTAACTGTGCAGTTAAACTGTGCAGTTTGTACCTTTTTTGCTGCACAGTTGTGTACCGAATGTGAAAAACATTTTTAATTGATGTAACTGCTCATAAAGGCTCAGCACGGCTTTTTTTCCTTTATGGCGGAATATTATATCTCAATTCCAACAAGTCTGTATCTAATGAAGTCATTGTTATGATATTAGCTCAACCAAAAAAATGTTTCCACATCAATTTGAGTGGACGTAGTTGAGTTCAGATCAGGGCCTTATGATTGTTTTTCTTTTGAATTTAGCCAACAGTGCCCTAATATTGTATTGATTTCTAGATTCTTGTATAGTCTTTTCCATGATATTATGGCTGCAAATGAAAGAGGAATACTTCCGTTTGCCATGCGTTATTCTGATTTAATATATTCTGATGCAAACTACTTTTTGGGGGGCTATATTATATCAGGTAGAATATTCCCAATGTTAGTGATGATGTTAAAATAGCTCCCATAAGTATTCTAGGGTTACATAACTTGCATTAACAAAATCATTTCTGAGGTGGCATTCACATGGCATCCGTTTGCTCATCCATCACGGCCTTAAAGCATTAAAGAAAACGCAGAGTCAAAAGCAGATGGATCATGGGATGAAATGATTCCTCAAGACTAACGGAGTTAGATGAGGGTTGAAAGTTATCTGCCGTTTTAAAAGTCATCTGCTTTATATGCGATCCAAGGTATTAGTGTTTCCTCTGCCAGTACATTTTGGAAACTACTGACCTCTCCTATGTGCAGGAATTGGAATCTGGATGGGACAAATAATAAATTTGCGCACATGTGACATTCTAGAAGAGAGGAAAAGGCAGCTGAGTCAGACTGACAGCTGACCATGACGGGCGAGTCATCTGCTTACCATCGTCTTTGAGGTCCCACACGCGCAGGGTCTTGTCTCTTGACGCAGACACCAGCATGAGGCTGCCGTCGGGAGCAAAAGTCAAGTGTCGCACTACATCAGTGTGGTCCATCAGGTTTACCAACAGTTTCCCTGGAGAAAATCATCAGGCCAAACAGAGGACAGTTTAAAAACAGACATTTCAGCAGCTTTAATCAAGGTGCATTCTATATCGTTAAGACAATTAAAAAAAATGAAGACATCATTGTTAGGTTTTAGCACGTTCTATATTGGGAATAAGGAAACTTTGAATACCCATTTCTCTAACTGGTTAAATTAGTTGTAGGAAGAAGTTCCTTTGCAGGAAGATGGAAGAGTTGACGAAGAGAGCTAGTAAGAGGATTTGGAGGAAGTGAAGAAGCAGTATGGTTTAACAAAGACACATTTTTGTTAGCTTTAAATTCCTTTCGTCGTGTTCACCTAGCCAGAGTTGTTTTTTTGACCAGACCCTAAATTAATTAATAAATACAAAAATAAAATCATCATATGCTTTTTTGCTTTGTTTCTATGTCAAACTCTATACTTATTTTACAAAATACATGAACCCATAGTCCCGTTTTTGCTCTTAAAAGTGAAAATACAGTTTCATGATCACAGGGGAGTTAATGACTGTGATATTTTGAACAGAAAATAACCTCTTACACAAAAAGAATATACGCAAACATATCTATCTGTATACCTCTAGTTAAGCTTTACACACTTGATACAACAGTTTGCAAAAAAATTTAATCTTTGTTAGCTCGAGCAATATTAGAGAAATGCATACACTGCTGAGCCAAAACCCCATTTTGTAAAGTCTGACCACCTAAAAATCCTTTTTAAACCCACTTGTATCAGACTTTTTAAAGGCGGCCCGGTTACAATGAGAACTATTAACAGTTCATCACATTCATCTGTATCTCCACCTGAACTGTCCTTGTGTTGCTAAATCCTAAGTCCGTGCTCAATGCAGAGACAAAGTCAAATTTGGGCAAAGATGTGAGGCCTTTGGGTCTGAGGATGACAGAGATTATAAGCAGGCCAAGTACAAGTTGTGCAGGTCCATAAGAAGTGCAAAGACAGCACATTCCCAAATACTGGAGAGCCTCCATCTGCAAAATAGCGAATTATACGTTCCGTCTGAACAGTGTCTATGCGTGATTTCACCAGTTCCTCGAGGAAACCCAAAAAAATGCCTCTGTGCCTGAACAGACTCTGCTTTTCAGTCCCAGACGGAGAATCACCAAAGCTCCTAAAGGCCTGTGCTTAGCTGGTGTGTGCATAGACATTTTCAAAACTGGTATTTAACAGTTGCAGAAATCCCCAAAACATTTGAAGGATCTGTCATCATTCTGTTGCCCTGGAAACCACACAGATGCGGCTGCCACAGCCCTAGGCTCTTGGCCCTATTCAGCTGTGGTTGTTTCTCCACCCAGGACAACACAGCTACCGTCCATAGGCTGACGACGTGACAATTTTGGGTCTAATAAATGGTGACAAAGAGGAGAACCACCTCATCCTCAACACAGACAAAACTTGTGATCTAATAATAAAGTTCTCAACTATTGTTATCTGCCTTTTTTTTTGTAAGTTTGTTCAGGTTTACCTTGTGTTTCTTATAAAAATATTATAAACCCAGTGTTTAACATTCTCTTTTTATGCATCCCGACTGAGCATGTGAACAAGTGGCAAATAAAGAATCTATAATAATATGGCAAAGGAATGTAGCAGTAGACAATAAATTACTTGACTTCAGGTTGCCTACGAATGCATTCAGTCTATGAATGCATTTTTTAGATTAAATGTCAACCCACTTAAAACAAAAATCTTAATATGGGGTGCAATCAATGTGCAACCATGTGAATCCATACTCACCAGTGTAAACATCCCAAATCTTGATGCGACCGTTGCTGAGGCCTGTCGCCAGCAGTAGCTGGTCCTGGCCGAACTTGAAGCGGTGCCACCCGATGTTAACGCAGCGGCTCTGTTTTTCGGGCACAGAAGAACCAAAGGCCAGTCCCCAGACAATTTCACCACAGTCTATGGTATGTTCGAGGGGCTCGCTGGCCATGGAGATGGCGTGCTCTCCCTCGCTGTTGTGATGGGACACGTGCCGAGGACTGGACGCATCGGTGCCTTTACCACCATGGCCCATTGAACTGAGGCAAAAGAACATAGGAAAATCAAATAATTTAATATGAGATGGTGGTTAAAGAACGTGGCTACGCCCCAGTACCGAAGCTGGTGCAAACTAATATGCGATAAGTTCATGTTCAAGAGGAAAATGTTATTATTGATGTAGCTGGTACTCCAGCTTCCTCCCACTGTCCATTAACATTAACTGGACATCCAAATCGCCCCTACGAGTGACTTTGAGTGTGTGTGGTTGTCTGTGTTTGAAATCGATGTTAATATTGCATGGACATGAATTAAAATGTTTTATTTTCCAATGATTACATGTTAATACCTGAAATTATTACACCTTGCTCACCTGAGCGAGCCCAGTTGTCTTTTTTCGTTGTTTTTGTTGCTTTTCTGTGTTGTGTGCAAAGTGAATTTCTATAAAACGCTGCGACCTAATTGGTCTTTGAGTGGTCAGCTCAACTTCAAAAGCGCTGTACAATAAAGTCCATTTACCATTCACATTAAATACCCTGATAAATCCATAAGAAAAGTTTGAGTTGGACATCACTGAGACCGGGTGTTTTTTAAAAATATATGTGGACTGACAATTTGTCAAGGCTGTGGCCCAGTTCTTGGAATAGGATTCCAGCCACTCCCTAACACTTAATTGGTTTAAGCAGCAATAGAAAATGGATGGATAGACATATAGCCTTTGAACTGTAGTAGCTGCAATATTGCCACAGTAACTGAGGATGGATGTGAGATGCCATTTTCTTCTAAAACCACAATTCTTTCCACAGTTGATTAAAATGCCAATCAAATGACACACATTGACTGACATTAGACTTTCTCCAATTAAAATTCTGTAACAAGATGTCACTGAGCAGGAAATTAACATTTTACATGGAAAACTGCCTTCAGATCTTTCTGGGGAATCCAGTTGTTTAATTTATTTCGTCTTAGAAGCAGGAGAGCAACAGTAAAACAGGATTTGCAACAATGTTGTTCAAACATAAAGTATCATTTGACAGTTTCAGTTTATCTCACTCATAGCGCAATAGCAGCTTTGGAGTTTGTGGAATCTCTGTTATTGTAATTTATATGCTCGCTTATTTGTTGACAACATGTGACCTCAGCTTTTTACTAGGATTATTTGATTTCAACTGTGTTTGGTGATTGTGACATGGTTTCTATGAGATTATAGGGGTCCAGAGTTTCACACCAAGTTCACAGTTTGTAGCTGGATGTTGGCTTTTGCACTGTTTTTGTATTTTTTGTGTTATTGCACCTCGTCCTCCAGCTGGATCGAATAGAAAGATGGTATTGGAGGGTTGTGCCTCCACATTTTCTACAACCCTTTTTGGCTGAGAATTTTTAAACAGACCTTTTGCTAAATAAAATGAAAACATGAATTTCAATTAGCAGGAATTATTTGGCAGACTAAGTTTAACTGGTTTTTAAGACAACTTTTAGGGTAAGGCTTTGGTGCTTCGGACGTCTTTATTTTCAGCTCCTCCCCTATATGAAGCAAGCCTCGATTCGCAGAAGCGCCCCCTCCCTTCCTAAGAACACGTTCCGAAGCCTCAATACTGAACGTCTCAACACTAAAGCTGAGTGGGATGAGGACCCTCCATGCAACTTCAGTCAGTTACTGTTTAAACATGATACAATCTTATGGCAAAGGCAAATGTTATGACCCTTATTTAGGAATCAGTTCAATGCTGTTTACACAACAATATAGTATGAACTGAGTTATTAATGCGGTATTACTGTGCGTGTAAATGTAATCAATGATGGCAAAATTTTGAAAATAGCTAGAGCAACATGGATTACACTTACAAGTTCTTCAGACACTTTGTCCATGGAATGAGTCTGACAATGCGATGTCCCTGAGACCAAGCAAAGTAGGATCCATTGGGTGCAAAGGCTACAGTCCAAGTCTCACGGCCAGTCTTGTGGTCAAAAGGAGCAACAGGCACAAGGAGTTCTCCAATGAACTTTGCCTTTCCTGTAAACGAAAAAGAACTTGGTTAGTAGAGAACATGTACCATTTATGTACACAGACACACAAGGTCTGCCCTTCACAAGAAATACACAATCCAACTGTGTGCGCTCACTCTTTTCTAAAGCAAGTTTGCCTTCTACTTGAAGATAAAAACAAATAGTAGAGAGATCGGGTAATATAAAGACTGTCAGCATTAACTAGAATAAAGTGTAATCACAATTGTAAACATATCCATTTTCCCGCCATCTTTCTGAAGTGCATATTTCTATTGTATTGTTATAACACCACTCTTTTATAATCCATGGATAGTGCAGTTCCAAAGATAAATTGACCTCTCAACGTGAATTGAATTTTTAATTTAATTAGATATTGATTGACACTTAATGAAAAGCAAAAAAAAAAAAAAAAAGGTTTTGAGATTGAAAGATTTTTCTGAGTAATATACCATGCTCTTTAAATGTACTTCATACGGCTGTAAAACAAACATTGTGATTCAAGTATTTGGAAAAATAAATAACATCCAACACGTTTCCTGGAACTGGCAACACACACGTTGGATTTCGCAATTATCAGATGTATGCATAATACGCGTTTGTTTAACTTTCGCAGGACCATATTATTCATTAGATTGCTTTATAAATATTTTAATAGTTTCAGATGCCCGAATTTTTTTTTAAAATTGGCGTTCAGGCAGAACAAAGTGTGGAAGGAAAGGCATTCTTTACACGAAGGCACTCCCGTCCCATCATGCAACTCGGTGTCATACCTCACATTTCGTTGGTTAAATTGTTCAATACACAGCAGCTTTGTGGTTACGGAAGCCTCGACTATGGAAATTATTTTAACTGTTAATTTAATATATTAATATAATTGTAATGTTTACGCGAGCAGTGTTTTTGAAAACCCAACTAATTGAGGCTGAAAAAACACACCACCCGGAAGCGACCTAGAATCCTCCCAAGACGTACTTCGTAAACATAACTTAATCCAAATAAAATGCAAATACTTACCTAAATCATTTTCTTGTACCGAATCTGGGAAGCTTGCCATCTAAATATGGGCTGGGGCTGAAGAAAAAAATCCGAACAGAATATAAATAGACGGCCAGTGGCGAACTAGACAGCGCCTGTTTTGATGTCTGCAAAAGTTAGTTAGATCCCTCCACGTAATGTGAAAATACCCAGCGGAAGAATACAGTCGTGTTCGATCAAATAGAACTCTATTTGGCTTTCAGAATTAATTTAATTTCTGTGCAAATAAATAGGCTTCCAAAATAATTATGTAAAAATATCAGCGATGGGTCAAACGTTGACCAATGCTACTACGAAACGATGGCTACCTTGTAGCTTCTAATAAGCCCTTCCAGTGACAGGGCTGATTGGGGGAGGGTTTTTAAAATTACGTCAGCAAAGTTTCCATGGTGACGCTCATGAACCTCTATGGGCAGCCACCAGGGACATAAATGTTATATATTAAGAGCTTTTTCTGTGAAACAGCAACGAGAATGCGGATCCTCTGAATGGCCAGACTACAGGATTCTGAAGAAAATGGAAAAGCAGCAACAATTGTGTTAATTTGGCTTTGAGTTCTCAATATCTAATGTTTCATATTATATTAGTATTTGACTCAGTTCCTCCTATTTCTCACTGATAAGTTGGTACCAGGCACCAGTGCCTGATGTAACTCTGTCTGCTAGGTATATGTCAGCTATAACTTTTCAAATGATAAAAACCATCTGCTAAATGCATAAACAAAGCACATTCTAATGTGAACATTGTGGCCAATGAGGCTCTGTTGTGAAATCTGGCATATTGTACAGGACATCACCAGCCAGACAATATCTGTTAGTCACTCACAGGAAGAAGTGCTCTTTTTGTGTCTGAGGCCCTTTGCTATTGCTCTCAAACTGAACCCTGTGCTGCCATACTTCACTTGTGACCTGAATAAATGACTAATTTTAGTACTAACGACTTCCAACTAAATGAATAAATTAGGAAAAGAGGAAGAAACATCACTAAACAATTCGAAGCAAAATCCATCCATCCATCCATTTCCCGCCACTTATCCGGGGTCGGGTTTGTCTTCAAATGGTCTGATTCTTATTTTAGTACGAAACAAAATACAGAGTAGTAAAATAAGAATCAGACCATTTGAAGAAAAACTTGGAAGAGCTGTTTCTGAAAGACAGCCAAGGCACCAGGAGATGCTGATAAAAATAGGTGAAGTGAGTAGCAAGAATTAACTAGAAAACACATTGACAGTATGTAATATCAAAGTTGAAGAGCAACTGTCAAGTTAAACAGGCAACTCTAACTGGAAAAATAGTGGCACTTACCATTGTTGTCTTGTTTATAGGAATTATCTTATTAACTTGACAGTCCTCTTTGCAAACAAAAGTCCTCAGGAGATTATTGTTTCTTCAGGAGAAAGGCGGGTCCTGCCAAGCTCCATGGGTTTTTCAGGTGACACTAACCATGCAGGAGACTTGGTGGGCCCAGATTCGGGAGGCCGAGTATACAAGGAGGTGGAATTGTTGGTAGCAGTGTCTCCCCATTGATCCGGTGTTCTCTTTCCAACATTCACGGGGTCTCTTATCTTTTTTGCTAAAGCTATAAGAGAATCCAAATCCGTAGGCAAATCCAACGGTGCTTAATGGTCCTCGAGTTCACAGGACAGTCCATTAAAAAAGAGCGGCCTGTTTACAATTGCTACTCACTGCCAAGGTTCAAAACTCAAAAGCATAATGTGAAACACTTCTCCTGTCCTGCAGCAGTTATTATAACACTCTTGCTGCCTCTCGACCACGTCTAGTGTGTTGAAAAATCAGAGTGGAATGTTCAAAGTGCAATTGACCCATAACTGATAGAGTTGCATCCCCACTCACTTGTAGCCCATGCCTTTGCTCTGCCTGTGAGATGAGAGATAATGAAGGCTACCTAGGGCCTCTCAACAGTAGGACAGCAGCTCCAAATGAGGCCACACTGTGTAAGGAACATCTGACAATCATCAGAGTCCCCAGAAAACTTCTCTGGATGGGCAAGATGAACTAAAAAGACAGGAACTGATGATGACAGCATGACAGGTTAAGTTGATTACTAATGGATTAAATTAACTGGTCTTGTCATTCATTCCCAAGTATAAGCTCCTGGTGTGGGTGTGCTACTTGTTCCCCCTGCTGGTGGATATGTTTACTGTCGTTTAAAACAATATACCGGTATGTATGATCAATTTGCTCAGTAGTCTGGGAATTTTTCTCATGTGTTTCTATTTTGAGAATGAAGGTTCTCTCATGCTTCTGCAATATCATGTTTTGTATTGGGGACTGCTGAATACATTATAGTTATCGGGGGAAGGACCTAGCCTCCATAAATGTGTTAGTTACTGAATTATGGGAAATAGATCTTCCAGGGCAGGTGAGTGGGCTCATATTCAGTGGCACAGTCCTGTTGCATCCTGCGAACATTTTGGGGTTTTCTTTGTTTAATTTATTTTGTGACTGCACCCTGAGCTATAAGCCTGGCTGAGCACCTGGAAAAATCAGTCAGTGAGAGGGGGAAGGACAATGTTTTGGCACTGGTGTGTGCATGTGCGCTGGCCGAGGCAGATGGCCGCCCACCCTGAGCCATGGTTCTGCTCAAGGTTTCTGCCTGTTAAAAGGAAGTTTTTCCTTGCCTGTGTCGCCTAGTGCTTGCTCTTGGTGGGAATTGTTGGGTTTCTGTAATTAACTTCAGAGTAGGGTCTGACCTGCTCTGTTTTGGAAAGCGCTGTGAGACAACTCAGTGATGTGATGTGGCGCTATATAAATACAATTTAATTGAATTGGTGTGTGCTTCTAGGACCCTGTTGTGGCTCCACAGAGCTGTCTGAAGATTCAATTCTCCTCCTTTTGATGCGGCTGTGGATTGTGACCCCAAACACAACTGCTACATGCCTGTTTAAGGGGCTGGAACGAGCCCCTGACAGCTATGATGGCAACAGAACCTTTCTTGGAGGGAGGGAAGCCGGTGTCTGACTGATCCCTCCGGTTGTTCGCAGTGTCTGGGATTGACGTTTGGGGATGTGGTAGGCTAGTCAAGGCACAGCTTGAGCAAACGTCTACAAATGGTTGCCACCCCTGGTTCATGTGGAGCTCTGAACTGGTGGAGCAGGGGCTCTAACCCCGGCTTCCTCTGCTGTCCTCTGGGTGGATCTGAGTTTACCTGTGGTGGGCTGTAAGACCTTTAAGCTCTGTGGGGCTCCTGGTGTCCTGAGTCTTGGGGACCTGTGATTCCTCCGAGTCCCTGGAGGGGGGTGGCAGTGGCCCTCTAGAGCCATCGCTGAGATCGGTTCATGTAAGTCTTGTAAGACCTACATCACATTTTGTGCATGCTCAGGCACAAACATACTCTTCTATGGTGTCATCTGTGCTGATCTGTAGTTTTGTGCATTAGTATCAACAGGTTTGTTCTATGATCTCACAGTTGTTTATCACGGAGAGATGGAAGGATGACACCGGGCAACAAATGTAGAAAAGTACGTCAAACAGGAGGGACGTAATGTGTATAGAAAGCCAGACGAGAGATAAGGGGTTACCATGGCGAAATCAACGGGACTCGGTGGGCGTAATACTCGTATAATCGACGTGAAGACACGCGTGCGTTAAATGTCGTAAAAAAAGCACAGCATTTATTAAAAAACTAACTTTTGGGGGGGAGACAGGAAGAAATTGTTTGTAAGACCTGCATTTCGTTTGTAAAAGCTGAATTTACTGACAGCGCGCGGAAGGGGAATACTTTTTCCTGGCGGAAATGACTACTTTAGCACGACATAGTGTTTGGTCTCCATGGCACCGCCAGGGGGGCGGAGCTTTAGATGCTGCTTTACTTGTCGTGCCACATCACAGAACAACTGAGACAGTGTGTTCACGGCGATAGGATTAAAAAGGTGAACTTCGTAATTAATGTTCTTTACAATGAAAGTTGAGGTTTAATGTAGTCACACTCTCCCTCACAGGTAGTTAGATATAGAAAATATTTCTATTTTGTCTGGTTAATTTTGTAAACAGTCTAGCTTACGGTGGCTAACTAGCTAAGTTATTCAAAATAGCTAACAATTTAGCTCAAGATAACAGCAGTAGGACAACGTTATCACCCACAGTTCGTCAAAGCCATAAACTTACAGATCCGAAAGCGCAGTAGCCATTTTGAACGAGCCATTTAAGATTAAACGTAACGTTTATATCAGATTTGCATGATTTACTGCGTTCTAATGCATTTAACGACTCAGCTAACTTATAGTTAGGTTAAGGCTGACATATGTTGAGGGTTCAGGAAATCGAAACATGATCGAGCAAAGTTACAAGGGAAATTACTAAATAGTTTAAAGATATAGGTGGACATGGTCAGACATTGATTATAGAGCAAAGTACAATCAACAGGATTAAAGGACGGGATCCACAAAGGAAGAGGTAGAGCTTAATCATTATGGAAACCAGCTTTTAGAACTGCATCGGAGTATTTGTGTCTGTAAGAGCATGCTTTCGCTTGATTGTAAGGTTTTGTGCTGTTATAACTACTTCCCTTTCGTTGTCTGCTTTGCGACAGGCCCTGCGGCTATGGCTAAAGACCCATTAGCCGAGGCAGGCTTTTATTTTGATGAACTCAACAAGCTGCGGGTACTAGAGCCCGATGTCAGCCAGAAGACATCAGAGCTTAAGGAGGAGTGCAAAGAATTTGTCGACAGTAAGTAGACGCCGATTTGTGGTCTGCTTTCTTCCTCCAGGTTCCTTGAGGTGCGTATGTGTTCTTTACAGAAATTGGTCAGTTCCAGAAGATAGTTGGGGGCTTAATTGAGTTGGTGGACGAATTGGCCAAACAGGCAGAGACTGAGAAAATGAAGGTGAGTTTGACATAGAAAACAGCATTCTGTCAGTGCTATCATTTCATGACATCGGTAGTACTTAACCCTGTAATGCCAAATGTATCATATTTGATACATACGGTTTCTCAAATGGTTTGCGTGTGACACCTTTTGCATAATTTAATGGTAAGAACTTTGCTCAAAATCCTATTGTACACAATCAGATATACATGATAACAGGGGGCAAAAGACTACACAAAAAATAATCTTGACCTATCGCATAGTAATAAATTATTAAAATTAAAAATGTATTTCTGTTTTTTCTTATTACATATTTCGTTAAAAGACCAAATAAAGACTTCAAACCAAAAAAAGGGAATTTTCTGTTTTGTTTTATTCTTGGATCAGGATTTAAAGGGTTATCTGAATGTGCCTCTACTTGATAAAGAGAGAAAGGTCTAGTAACTATGCTTTGTTTCTATTTCTTAGGCAATTGGAGCCAGGAACCTGCTGAAGTCAGTGGCAAAGCAAAGAGAGGCCCAACAACAGCAGCTTCAGGCTCTGATAGCTGAAAAGAAGATGCAACTTGAAAGGTATAACAGCATAATTAATGTTTACCCTTTAAAAGAAGCTCAAACTACCGCTGTGGGTTTGTTTATAGCCTTTTCAATATTTCAGGGTTGGATTAAAACTGCTGTAGTTTAATGTAATGTTTAGAAAATGATTGGGACATCTGATTAAAATCTAATTTCACAGTATTCATCCATTTTCAACTTAATATCATGGAATGTTTCGCTTTTTTTGGTTTGTGTCCAGGTATCGCATCGAGTATGAAGCTCTGTCCAAAGTGGAATCCGAGCAGAACGAGTTCATCGACCAGTTTATTCTTCAGAAGTGAGGAAGGGGCAGGATAAGTGTTCCCACAGTGCCTGTACTGGGTGACTCGCCTGAGTCTCTCTTGCTGCAAATTTCATCTCAGAAGTCATTTTGAGGCTCCCCCATTATTGGAAACATCCTCTGCCTGCAGTTACAGCAGCTGTTTATTTACAAGTTTAGTGCTGAAAACTTAAATACACTTGAAACATTCACACCAAACGTCTCAACATGGAAGAAGATGGAGCTATTTATATAAAGAAATTATTTATACTATTTATACTCAAAAATTGGTCTGTTTATCTAGTTTTATTACTTTTTCTATCATTACAAATAAATAGATCAATAGATCAATACATTCTGCATGTGCATGTATTTGTAAATACATTTTAGTACCAATGAAAATGAGCACTCAGTTTGTTTATTCAGTTCATTCCATCCTTCTGGTAAGGTGAGTTTGTGGGTGCTACACAAATTATCACCTGCCTTTTCACCCCGGTTTTTCCTGTGTTATCTTTATATTGATTCATTAATATGATACAAATGGTTCTACTTGAATCCTGTATATTAGGCAGTATTTGTTTGTCGAAAGCGACTTGGCACATCAGATAAAATGCCATGAACAACGGTTTCATTAAAGATGGCTTCATATCTAAACTTGATCTTGATCTGATGTTCAGTTTTTCAAACAAATTTAACAGAATTTCAAAGCTGTAACCATAAAACTACAAATGCATTTTAGCACCCTCATGACATGACGCCACACTTTAAGCACATGGTTGAGTAGAATCTTTCCTTAAGCTGCTGAACATTATGTCTAAGCATTTTCTTCAAGCATCACTATCACGTAAAAGTGCCTCTGATTGCATGTCACAACGCCCTTTGGCGATAGCTTTCTTTTGGAATAACCAGACAACCAATGAATGCATCATTTGCTGATTCATTTAATGAAATAAAAACAATATTTACACTTGCAGCAGTAAGTAGCTCTCTTATATAACAATGTTACCCGTGAGGTCTTCTTATCACATACAAAAAACAACAAATAAAGAACATGTAAAGAACTAGACACCGTCAGGACTTCCTTCAGGTACAGTTCCCACGGACAGCTTCCTGCCACTGGGAGCTCACTTCTTCTTAGTATACTGTGGAACACAGCAGAACCCAACATGAAAATATTTATAAGAAATAAAAAGAGCTTTGTTTTGTCATCCTTACTTTATCTAGAATCCAGTCTGCATCTGTGATAGCTCTCTGGATCATCATCTGTATCCGCTCGGGATCGTTCTCATCTGAGTGGCTGTTGTAACCCTGAAAATGAACACAGGAGGAATATTTGCTTTTGTTGGCAGACAGAATTTCTTTTTTATGGGTATAACCAGAGTCATGCGGAACCTCTGTGAAGTTCCAGATGATCTTGAAGCCCAGTACCAGGTGAACAACATAAGTTATTACCTGTCTTATGGCATGTTGATAGTGCTTCTGCATTGCGGTGGACGGCAGCAGCCTGCAGCATCTGAGGAGATATCGATAGAGCTGGACTGGCGTCTGGATCAGCTCAGCTCCAACCAAAGGCGGCATTCCTTCCTCCTCTTTAATCAAGTGCTGCAGATGAAAAGAAAGTGAAGCGTTAATGTGGAGCAGCAACATCTGAACTTGTTGACAAACCCCATATCCATATTTTGGGAACAAGCACATAACTGAACTGAGCCTAGCGAGAGCTCCTCTTGGGTAAATCCAAGTTTGTTACCTAATAAGATTCCGAGTATCCTATGTGGCATTTCAGCTGAAATGCTGATTGATTGAGAAAAACAATTTGTCCTTCTGAATGCTAATTCAAGGATGGCTCCCAGAGTTAAAAATCATCAGAAGAGGTCACATCAATCTGTTTAAATTGTGGGTGCAACCTGACTCTTAACAATGTTCAAAAACATATTCAAATATAAATAATAAAGTAAATTAATAAAATCAGAAAAAAGATACAGAAAGCCGCAAACTCCAAGCAGGGCAAAAATGCAGATGAAATAAAGATCTCTGAGGACCATCCCACTGATCCACAATGATCATTTCTCTCTTTTCTCTATCAGCTGTGAAGCTTTTCCTTGTGCTTGATCAATAAAAATAATTATTTTCACAACCAAATATTAATTTTATAGACAAATGTTATATCATAAATAATTTCACAATGCAAAAAAAGATTATTTAAACTAAAAAATGTTTCGTAATATAAACAACCTCTTCTGTTATTAACTCACTGGGAATTAAAGTTTTGATCCAATCCAAAACAATGACTACTTTCTACACCATAGAGCCACCAGTGTGTGTTTAAATATTACATAATGAGTTCATTCGGAAACATTAGGCATTAAAAAGTATAAATGTAGTACTGGAACTCCATGTAAACAAATGTCAATTGTGAAGCAAATAGACGCAATCAGCTGCAAATATACAAGAACCAACAGTGACATTAAATTAAATACAAATAAACACAGCATTTATCACCATTGTTATTGTTTTGTCACATTAATGTAATCTAGCTTGACTGTAAACCCTAACTAAGTCCCTTTGGGTATAACTGAATTTCGTACTTTTTGGGGTGCACGTCACATTGAGGTTACTATTATTATGGATATAAAAAATATATTTTCATTTCCAGGCTCGTGACAGTCTGAGATTAAACGACTTACTGTTACTGGTGTGCTTTCAGTGCTTTCAGTGCTTTTGCTCTTCCTCTCGACTCTTACGTGACGGCCGCTACGTGTTACGTCACTAGCATGCGCCCGCAGAGTAGCATGCCTATAAGTCAATACGCATGCGCGTATGCTTATTCGACAGGAAGCACAGAATACAGAGGAAACGTCAGTTCGTCATACGCAACAAAATACAACAAAAAGTATGTAATTTGTGTACATAACTAAAGGGATATACGGGCGTTGAGGTAGTTTTAAGTGTGTTAAGAGAAGGATATAGCTGCCGTTGAAGCCAACTTCAAAACACCCCTCCCGCCTCCCCTTTCGTTGATTATTTTGAATTGGTCTTTACGCCATCTTGGATACAGCGGCTGGGCGGAGCAGAAGGAAGATTAATTGAAGTGAATAAAACGTGAGCAAGATGCTTACTACTGGCAAGGTTGTAGTTGGCCCATTAAATTAAAAAAAAAAAAATCTTGTTCAATGTTTGGATTAAATGAATAGTTAATCCACAATCAAATTGCTGTAAATTTTTTACCACCTATTATATTTTCTTATATCATGGAATTTTCAAGGGACTGCACATACTTTAGGTTTGAAAATTAAAATGTTAGAAATTGCATTTAAAAGTTAATTTGTTTAAAATCTTTAAGAGACATTCTTGTTACAATGCTTATTTCATATATCTTGTTTTTTGGTGGGGGCGGGCATTTATAGCAAACATGGAGGGCAAATGGGATGAGATCTACAACTTTCTGTCTGAAGGTTCCTATCCACCTACATGTACCAGAGGGCAAAGGCAAACGTTGAGAAAGTTTGCCTCTAAATTCAGCATCCATGGTAAGGCTTTTATATTTTAAACAGACTCAACATTTTTTTACGATAATGATATAATGTGTACATTTTCTTCAATGAAGGTGGGAACCTATTCTATGGAGCCTTGCCTAACAGACGGGCGATAAAGTCTAAAGAGGAGGCTTTGAGCCTTTTTAAGGAATTCCATATTTCACCCATGGGACAACACACTGGTATTGTGAAAACCCGCACTTCCATGTGTTACCGATTTTTTTGGCTCGGGATGACTTCACACATACAGCGATGGGTATGTTTCCAAATTCTTAGCAATATGTTTAAGCTCCAAAGTTCCATAAAACTAAAAAAACAGCAATATTTTCAAGGTGTCTGAATGTGAGCATTGCCAGAAAGTCGGACCTTCAGGACCTTCACCGATGGTAGTTCAGACACAGGATTGCATCAAGGTAACCATCCACTGCAATTCCTGTAGTTTATTTCTTCTATGCTACTGTTGCTCATTTTAATTTTAATCTATGACCAACAGGTATCAGGCGTGTGGGAGCTCATCGGAATAAATCTGAGTGGTCCTCTCCCCCTAACACCTTCTGGCTTCCAGTACATACTGACAGCCACAGACTACTTCTCAAAGTGGGTGGAGGCTTTCCCCCTAAGAGAAAAGTCTCCTCAAGAAGTCTGCAAGAATCTTTGTACCATCTTTTATCGTCATGGCTGTCCTAAGCGAATCCTCTCAGACCAGGGGCCAGAGTTTGTGAACCAAGTAAGCTACATTTGATACGAATTCTAGTTTGTTCAAGTTTCAGTGGATAAGAAAGGTACCCATAATGTTCTATCCTTCTTTTAGATCAACGACAGACTCTGTGGACTCCTTTTTACAGAGAGGGTTGTCACTGCTGCATATCATCCGCAAACAAGCAGATTTGATGAAAGAACCATTTGTAACATTAAACGGTAAGAAAGTCATTAGAAATTGCCACGTTCTTAACATTTTTTGTCAGTTGATCATTATAACATGTTTCTCCAGGCTTGTTAAATTTTGCTTTTACTTTACTGATTCTGAATACTAAGTACACATATATATATATATATATATATATATATATATATATATATATAAATGTGTATGTATATATGTGTATGTGTGTGTGTATCCATGTATCATAAATCTTTACAATATGACAATACTATTGAACAGAGGTACTACAAACTCAAGTATATGCAAACATGTGAAACTGTTCTTTCTAGGGCCCTAAGAAAACTCACCAATGACAAGCAGGATAACTGGGATCAATATCTAGATGCCACTTTGTTTTCGCTAAGATCCAAAGTGCACACGACCACAAAATTCTCGCCCTTCCTGCTTATGTATGGAAGAGAGGCCAGGTTCCCCGCCGAAGTTCCTGCCGAAATGCCGGTAAGGTTCTGCCTGTCATAAGTTTGGAGTAATATTTTATGGATGTTCCTGCATATTAATGTAATAAAGGGGGTGGTATTACTGAATTTTTACTTAAGCTTCACATTATGTTATAATGTTATTCCCTCATCAAAAACATGCATGGAGTGTTACTTCAATTAATTCATGCATGTTTGAGAAATCCTTTCCTTTCTAATTGCAGCACTGAGGTGTGCCCTAATGCTTCCTCATACAATTTCAAATTTACTCAATAGAAGCTCAGTATAGAATAGGAATTTACTTAATCTATTAGCGCAATTTCAGCTATCATGAAAAGTCAAGTTTCCTTCTATTATTGAGATCTTTGTTTGACTAGTGTATAGGTCATCAAATGGTACCAGGACACTACATAGTACCACCTCTTTAGGATGCATTGTTTATGTTTTAGCTACTAAGTTTTAGTAATTCTAAACATTTGACAGTAATGTTTTGAATGTAAAAGTGTCTTTGCTTTTACAATATAGCTGTCTTCAGTTGCCGTTCCCACGGATTACAGCCAGTTTGTGAAGGAGAGAGAGGAACTACAGGGGGATATAAAGGAAAAGGTACAGCAAAACATGGAAAACGCACGGAAGAAAATGAGGGAAGCCTCCGCAAAAAGGGCAAGCAAAAAACGCAAACCTATGGAATTAAAGCAAGGGGATGAAGCTCTGTTGTACGTTGCCCAAAAGACAAAGATGGAGCATGACTACCCTGGAGACGAGAGCGCTCCGCTGTGACACAACGTCACATGCCAGCTGCAAATGTTTGCCCCAAAAACTACTACGTTATCATGAAAGACCACAGTAAAGCCCAAGCTAACGTTGCCACAGGACAACAGACCGTCACTATGCAGTTAGCATCTCAACTCTTAAAAGCTTTCTGGAGCCGCACCAACACTTTGTCTTCTTCTGTGATTAAAATTATGTGAAACTGAAACAGCGCTGTGTTTATTTATCACCACCAGTGGTTATGAAGTGGGCTTTTACATAGGTTAACATGTAATCACATTTTTTAAAACAGTTTTGCTCATTTAAAAAAATAAAAAAAATAAGTAGGACCTGTTAGCTTAATAATTTTCTTAATAATATATCTACTATATTCAAAATTTATTTCAAATTCTCTCCTGAATCGTTTTAAATGGGTGTTTTAGCGCATTTTTATTAACCTGAGATGGAGCTCACACGTCTGGAAGCGTTCTAGATTACTGCTTCTGAGCTTCTGGCACTTAAATTTCAAGATGTTACCTAGTGTTTCAAAGCGAGATGTTTTATCCTGCTGTTTCTACAATTTTATAAAGAAAAATGGATAAATAAAAGCTTGAAACTGATTGTAAGTTTAGTTATATTGAGGTTTTAACAGCTATTGAATTAGGAGTTTGTTTGGTTTTCACTTTGACTGTAAATTATCTCGACACACTGTACCATCCGATAGGGAGAAGAGATGGTAGACCATACTTTGGTTGGCACAAAATTAATCCGCTGTGAGCTCATTAAGACGGTGGTCAGCAGCCTCTAAGACCATTCTCTTGGGTTCGTAGTCCCTGGGCCTCGGCACAAATGCTAGTAGAAACAGTCTAAATACCCAGGAGACTGTATTTATACCCCTGTGCCCATGGAAGTGATTGGAAATCCTGATTTAGATCATGAGGATGGATAAGCGAATACTTTTGGTAATATATTATACATGGAAATGATTAATGTAGCTCATTATACTGAAGTTTAAGCTACATCTTTGCTGTAAACCACCAAATGCCAGTCTGGCTCTATAGTACATTTAATCAATTCATGAAAACCCTGTCAATTTTAACAGAGATATACAACACATTTATTATAGTTTGGCTAAAAATGTGTCTGAGGACAGTTATTTTCATAGTGATAATACAATAGTAATTTAGACACTGAGCATCTTTGTTAATACTGTTGATTGTAAAGTTGATTTTTTTTCATTTTATTTTTTTCTTCTGTAAATGGGTGCACTGCAAACATGCTGCATGTTGTAATTACTGAACTGAAGTCACCAAAAGAGTCATATCAGTGTTTATTTGAAAATAAGTCAGTGTACAAAACTCTACAGTACATAAGGTTCAAGTTGCAGTATGCAGTAATATTCATTATTAGAACATTTTTTCAATGTCCAAAGAGTGGTTTGGATTGACATACGGTGGCTAAATGAAAGATTTGAACTAACCTTTGAAACAAACTGCAGAACGTTTGCTTTACAAACATATAGAGGAAACGTGGGTGATGGCTGTAAAAATGTAAAAGGCCTACTCAAGAGCAAGTCTTTGGTTTTTCCCGTTCAGCGCTCCCATCCAGAGGTGAGTGTGCAAATATGGCAGAGAGAGGATGTGTGCTGCCTGAGCTGATAAATGGTTATTTAACACAGAATTGAACAGAGTGTTTCATAATTTAACGTGAAATGTCACTAATCGAAAGTTCTAAATATCCTGTTTCTTACTTATAAAAGATAATCTCTCTAAATACTACGCACCGGAACTTAACACACACGTTTTCACAACAACGAGGAAATAAAAAAAAAATCAATTACAGTCTAAATAGAATGTGAACATGCTTTCTTTAACATCAAGTTCTCTTTGGTTGCACCCCTGCACAGTGCCTGGAACCAGCAGTACAAATGCATACAGATTTGTAACATTTAAAAATGACACGTCAGATAGCACCAAACATCGCCGTATGAGCATGTTGGATCATTACCTATGTAATGTGGATATAAAAAGAAATATAAAACATAGAGCATGTGACCTATATTGTTTAAATATATTATATTTGTGTACGCATGGATTAGTAAAGATCATTTAGCACAATATGAAACACTTAAGATTAAAAGCCTCTACGGTAACTAAGATTTGAAAGATTTTAGAATACATCACGGTCTCTTACAAAACATCAATGGATTTCACTAGGTATGTCATATTAAACCTTAATTCATAACTATCAACATGTTACATATCAGTCTAGCACGGGCAACTACTTTATTTATTTTGTGATACAAGTGTCTGGGACTCCATTGTCATCCCTCGGTCAAATGACAAAAAAATAACTTTTTTTATCACTCGGAGTACAAAAATAATCCTGTGATTCTTAGAGAAAAACTGTTACTCATTTTCTCTCTAAGGAACAAATCGTCACACTTATTCTCATGTGTAACAGTTTGTCCCCTTTTTGGCTTAAAGGGCAATGTAAACACTGTGTGTATTGCATTTTTTCAAGAGGGGCACTTTTGTATTCCAAAGTCCTAACACTCTAACAGAATGGCAACATAGTATAGAATTAACACGCGTGTCCACCCTGATGCTGATTCTTGTCTGCACTGCACTCAAAACATTGCTCTCTTATAAAAAAAAAAGGTGCAGTACATGCTGCTGAATGTGACTCTTTGTACGTACACACAAGTCTTGATGAGGTAAAGACAGTAAGCTGATTCATAGTTCAAATCCTTACCGCGTTGCACCGACTCTCCCACAGTTTCTGGGAGGAAAACAGAAATCAAGATTTGCGTTTTGTCCATTTAGCAGCAATTAGAAAAAAAAAACACGAAATGAGGCAAACTCACGTGTGACGTGTGACATGTTTCTCTGAACAATAGGAGGAAAAGCGGTGGAAACCTATCTCTCAGACTTGACCTTATAGCGCAGGATGAGGTAAGTGGCCAGTCTTAGGATCACAAAGAACATGCCCAGTACAATGAAATCTACGTGCAGCTTCGCATCTTCGACATCCAGGAGCTGCAGGACCTCCTCGGGCTGCTGGAACTTACAGACCTTCGTTGGACAATCCAGCTCAGAGCGGTTCATCCCATAGACGGACAGGATGACCCCTTCAAAGCTGTACCTGTTGGGGGGGGAGATACAACTGTCGTGTAAAATCGAACGCAATTCAAAAATAAACACTTGCCCTGGTTTTTCTTGTCAATTACAAAAACACTGAGCAACAAAGTTTTCAGCAAACTTAAGAACAGGTCATCTAACACGAAAAGTATAAACTCCTTCATATTGTTTAAGATTTATTCTGCTCTTCTTTGACATTAGACAAACCTATGTGATAAGATATTTGAGACATTTACAGCCTTTAATACTCTCTATAAGCCCTGTGACTTTGACAGACTGGTAATGTTAGTTTACATAGTTGTTATTGTTGTTTTTATGCAATAAATAACCTCACAAACCATCAAAAGGATGGCTTTTAATGATCCTACAAAAAAATCTGTCCATGTAACCACATTGTATTATCTAGTTAACCCTTTAAAGCCTGATCCAAGAATAAAACAAAACAGAAAATTATTTTTTTTTGGTTTGAATTCCTTATTTGGCCTTTTAACAAAACATGTCAAAAGAAAAAACAGAAATACATTTTCAATATTAATAATTCGTTACTATGCGATAAGTCAAGATACTTTTTTGTGTAGTCTTCGGCCCCCTGTTATCAGGTATATCTGATTGTGTACAATAGGATTTTGAGCAAAGTTTTTACCATTAAATTACGCAAAAGGTGTCAGAGGCAAAACATTTCAGAAACCATATGTATCAAATATGATACATTTGGCATTACAGGGTTAATCTTGGTAACAACAGAATTGGTATCAAGTCACCAACATTTACTTTAGAAATCTTTTTTTTTTTTTATAACATTATCATGTTATAAAAAGCTGCTAGTATCAGCTGCTTGGTATACATTAAATATTGTTAATGGATACTGACATTGTAGTTAGCAAATCGTAAAGTGAACCGATGGAATTCATTTTTCAGTTGGGTCTTTTTTTAATTTAATGACGCCTCTAGATTGTGTTTACAAAAGCAGTATAAACCTTGTAATGTGATGTTTGGTGCTACTTATTTATTTTCCTTGCTTGTTTTTGTTTTAAAAGTCCAAAGTTTGGCTATTTTCTTTTGTCAGCTTTGAATTTTGGTAAGTCTTCTTCCCTGATTTCATAGATTTATGATGACTGTCATAGAGAACAGAAATGGCTAATGTTACCACTAGGACAAACAACTAATTAAAGCTTAAATCAATTCACAGAAAATTGAATGTAAACAGTTTAGACTCTGATTGATGGTGAAAGGAGGAACACACCTGACGTAGGATATATAGGAGCTCCATTGCAGATAATTGGGGATTGTGTCAAAGTTCACAAAGAATCCAGAGAAGAGCAGCACTGGGATGGCAGTGACCGGTCCAACAAATGTGGCTACCTGTAGAGGTGTGCGGAGCATAAAATCGGTCTCGTTTACAGAACGTAAGCAAAATAGACGAGACATTACAATCCCCCCAAAAAAAGCTGTACCTGTAGTGATGTGGAGGCTGCACCAACCAGAAGGCCCAAAGACTGGGCTACGAGGGCTGTGGAGATGGACAGGGCTAGGAAGAGAAGGTACCGGGTGGCCTCAGGAGGCTGCTCTGTCATCCAGTACACAATGCTGCAGTACATGATGGGGCAGATGACCTGTGACAACAATACAATTACATATGTGTTAACCCTATAATGCAAAATGTATCATATTTGATACGTACGGTTTCTGAAATGTTTTGCGTCTGACACCTTTTGCATAATTTAAAGGTAAAAACTTTGCTCAAAATCCTATTGTAATCAATCAGATGTACCTGATAACAGGGGGGAGAAGACTACACAAAAAATCATCTTGACTTATCGCATAGTAATAAATTATTGATATAAAAAATGTATTTCTGTTTTTTCTTTTTACATATTTTGTTAAAAGGCCAAATAAGGAATTCAAACAAAAAAAGTGAATCATTTTCTGTTCAGTTTTATTCTTGGATCAGTCTTAAAGGGTTAAGGTACAGACTTACAAAGTTAAACAGTCCTCACACACACACTAAGAGCCCGATTTTTTAAACTCCTCCACTGAAGCCACTGTTCTTCATAAAACAATAAGCAATGTTGATGAACAGTGGGACTTAAGCATTGTAATCCGATCAGTTCCTGATTTAACAAGTTGCTTTTATAAGCTGTATTGTTATTAAATGCGTAATTCTGATGTGCCATAAAGGGAACTAAGTCTGTGCTGGCAGGATTTACACAACCCTGTGAAATGTCCTCTGTAAAAGGAAGTTTACTACATCACAGCTCACAATCTTTACCCACAGTTAAAACACACAGTTAAAACGCAAATGGAGATTTGTACGAATCAACTAATGCACTTGAAACACAGACAAATATTTTTTTTAAGTATGATATATAGTATGAAACAAGTTTCTCACAATCTCATCGAGCCAATACACAACTCCCTCAGCTGCTAGCTCACCTGGAAAGGGATATCGGCCATGGTCTTGGCAAGGTAGTAGGCTTTCAGGCTGTACCAGTAGTTAAGATGCTCCCTAAGGAACACAGACATCTCCAGAGGAACTGCCAGATGTTTAGAATCACAAGTCAAGATAACCCCGCCATAATGTGTGTCGAAATGGGACCTTATTGGGGTCACAACAGTATCCACAATACAAATGAAAGGTAAAATCTCCTCGGGTGTACTTACAGGTTAATACGGTTGGCATTAGGGCTCCAAACATAATGAAGAGCATAGAGAAGAAGAGAAATCCAGTGTTGTTTAAGACCTTACTGGCATCATTGCCAATGTTCAGATAGAGCAAACCAATTAACACACCTATGGAGATGTGGGACATGAGTCTGAGGTGAGTCAAAACCTGAAAAAAGAATAACAGACAAAATCCTCCAGTCTCTGGTTTTGAATTATTGATAATAATTGTGTCAGGCGTATATGCTCTGAGTCATAACGGCCACCACCTACCTGATCACGACATATGGTGATGAAGGTTCTCTTGAAGAGGATACAGAACTGCGTGAGAGTACTAGTGGCAAAAGTATGCCTCTCGATGTTCCCCACATTCTAAGGAAGATAATTTCATTTTCCTTTTTAACAGTGAAGTTTAACACAGCATGTTTTTGAACTGAACTAAAGCAATACAGATTTAGTTAATTTACACTATTTAGTAACCAACTGTTTAGGTTAGAATCATTGTACTGTATAATATGTTCTATATTTTTGGTTCTACTATTAGTTCTATTATCACTTTTAGTTTTTGGGCAGCAAGCTTGACACATGGTGGCGTAATTCTCATTCCTTTCCATGTTCCGACATGCATTTTTTTGTCACACTAGCCCTTTTAAGTTGGGTTCATCAGTTATTTGATGTGAATAACTGATATGAAAAGTATGTAATAATAATGTGCTGTGACCTATGGCTGAAATAAAGTGTTCATTCAAAGATCGATATAGAAACCACACTCTTTTCAAAATCCTTTCATACCATGTTGTTTTAACAGACTCAATTCAAGTTCATTTGGAGTTCTGGTTAGATTTGATATATTCTGTGTTATACTGAAATAAATGTTTCTGTCCTTTGTCTTGTTTTATTTTCTTTGCTAGCCTGATTTTCTTTGTTGCTTTGTCTGCTTTGCCTTTTTTATGTATCCCTAACCCCGTCACTCCTTTTGTTAGCAGGCAGCATATCTATGATCCACTTGTTTCTCCTCAGGAATTTTTTTCATGTCTGTTTTTTAGAGTTTTTGTGTGCTTAACTTTTCCTATAGCACCTGTTTTTAAAAATCAAGGTTTTTTTTCTATTCGTTTTATTTAAAAATGTTTTTTAGCTTTTGCGTTTCTGCATTTGTATCGATCATTCTACTCAAATGTCTCGAAGCATCAAATTTATTTAAAATGTCCAAGTTAGCCATGAAATGTGAACTTTTAGTGGTGGAGTGCATATTTAATTTCTGTTCCAGATTTCTATATGAAAGTCACACAATTAGGGAAAAAAGTACAGTTTTTATAATATCTTGCTATTTAAATTTTATTTGAAAAAAACAATGCATGTATCTGTGTGTAAGAGATGCTGTGTAGTCTCACATTGCAATGGATCTATTTCTTCAAACAAAATTATTTGTTTTAAAAAGAAATCCTCAGTAAATTGTTTCTAACTTCATGTAATGGGATATTTATCTCAGAGTGCTTTATATCATAAATGTTACTTTCTAATATTAGTCAAAACTCACTAATAGTATGCGCCATGTAAGGAATACCAAAAATAAGTCTTATTGGCAATGGCACAGTTCAAAACCTATAACATAGAAAGTCAACTACATTAAGTTTAAGGCTGTACATAAGCATCAAACTAAATAACCATAAAAAACACATGTACCACAACATTCTCAGCATATATTAGAGAACAATAGCATATTATCTGTTACATACCATGGAGCACGTTGTTGTACAGACCGACGTGCCATTGGTGTCACAATGGCTCTTTTTCTCCTCTAACGCACACATCCCACCTTGGACGGCCTCAAACAACACAGGGTTTAGGTCTCCATATTCTCCTGATGCCACCTCAATGACTGAACCAGAGGAAAAATTAGAGGCAAAACTGCTGCATTAAATTAGTTTGAAATGCTGTTTCCACCCTGATTAAAATCTGTTTTTTTCTTTATGAAAAGTATCGACACATCTTAAAATTTGTGGCTAGAACAAGTCTGAAATAAACTAGGCAGTTCAGAAATCTGCATGGGAAATGAGAAAAGTGCTTGCTACACCTATGAGAGAGGAATGTTATCCCATTCTTGTCCGATTCTCTAACCCCACTAGTTTTCTGGCTTTTTTTTGTGGTTTGTATCACATAATGAAGCACATGTTTTGTTTTTGTAAAATGCCTGGGCCAATAGCAGGATGAGAATAAGCAGTTAACCTAACATTCATGGTTTAATAGGTTTTGTTCTGTTGTGTAAAGTCGTTTCTTTTTAGTATCTTTGACTTTTTTAGCCTTTTGTTGCCCCATCTCAACTTTTTAACAATGTTCTATTAACAAATTCAAGATGATTTATTGTTTTTTTATATAGTTTGTTTATCACAATTGATTATTGTTCTTTCTGTTCTTAATCATTTACAAAATAGCCCAAATTCATATCAAATTGAACATTGAATATGAACATACTGAAGTCTGCAGGGTTGTGGTAGGTGGGACAGAACAGGCCAAGAGTCTTCAAGTAAGGGATGAGAGAAGGGACTGCTCCTTTGTAGATGCACTGACCCTGACTGAGAATGTAAAGCTGTGAAAAAAGCAACACCAGGAGCTGTTTTACACGTTTGACAGGTTTGTGGAAAATGTTGCATTTTAGCATGCACTTCTCAGAAACTATCATTTCCACTTAAACATTCATATATAGCAAGACATTCTTTCAACATTTACTTTTATGGATGAACAGTTACACACCTTGTCAAACATCTCAAACAATTTGGCACTTGGTTGATGAATGGTGCAGATTATGGTACGTCCGCCCATAGCCAGGGAACGCATTAAGGACACCACTTGGTAACATGACACACTGTCTAAGCCACTGAAAACAGAGGAAACAGAAAGAAAAGTAGACCGAAGGTATCATTAAATTAGAATTAATAGAGGACACATCACATCGAGACAATATACTGATTACTATGTAGGTGAATATGTTTAGTTAAATTTTTATCTATTATTTCTGTTTTACAAGAATTCCTAGCTAAATGGACCCAAACCAGAGTATAAATGCCCAAAAAATAGACTGCGCATTTCAGTTCATGGAACCCTTGAAATATTATAAATATGAATGTTTAAAAATTACTAAATGGATTAAAGGTAAAAGTACCATCTAAGACATCTTGTAAAATAATTACTAAAATGCACCTGTACAGTTTATTTTATGGTGTGCTCTGAAAGGCGCTCACAGTAATTGCTAATTATTGTCTTATGTTTCAGTACTAATGACACACATTTTTTGGGCAGTTCAACAAATTTTGGGAATTCTTTGCTTAATTTAAGTTTATTGTAAATGTTTTGTGTAATTTTACCAATGGAACTCGCTTGAGGTTAAGAGAGAAGGGAAAGATGTCTATTTGAGCTCCTCACAGAGGAGTGCAGATAAGTACAAATAAAACTTCCTATTAGTGATACGATTTCAGCTGATGGCCTGATTATAAGAATTAATTGTCGTGTATTAAAATTGAACAATGTTGCATATTGTAGCATATTATGTGAAATGGAAGCCAAATAATATTTTGAATATGCTACTTAAAAAAAAAAAAAAATCACAATAAAATACATGACTGCTATATCTCATATTTTTGTTTACAAATGAGACACAGCTTCAGTTTCTGACTTAGTATTTTAATAATTCTAATCTTAGTTTTCTCTGTCAGGTATCTTTTTTACACGATGCAGTGAAATTGTTGATTTTTTCTAGAATTATTCAAACATCTCACTTTAAAAATGACCTTGATTTTTCTTTCAAGTAAGACTTTGATGTATTGTTTTTTCGGCCATCTTTTAACTATTTAAGTCATTATAATGATCACACAATATTCCAAACAATTAAGATAATGAATAATATAATTAAGGAGGTATAGTCTGCTTATTTTACCATTTTAACTTAACTGTAATTAGTTTAAAAAAAACAGGCTGTTCAATTAGAAAAAAGACACGACTATTTTCAGAGTAGTTTTTCAGTAAAAACAGGATGTTTCTTCCATATATAGAACAGGAAAGCTGATAGTCTTAAAAATGTACTTTCCAGGACTTTAAATCACATTTGTTAAATAAAATTGGAATAAATAATAGAAATATAAATAAAATACAGATTCTTTGAGATGGCTTTTAGGTAATGCTTTACTTCGTCACTGTTTGCCAAAAACACAAAACTCTCTTCATTTGCCTGAAGGGTTTCTGTTAAGGTGTTTTATAGCAACACATGTCCAGCTTACTCCCTCACCGAGTGGCAAACATGATTTGCTGATTCTAAAGAAGCCAGATAGACGGATCATCAAGTTCAATCACAATATAAATTAGATTTAGATTAGATTTTCGAAAATACATCCTAAAACTTCAGTCCATTAACTGAAAAATGGCATACTGATTGAGGGAATCAACACTGTTTCACTTTGCATTGGCAGAATATGACGAACTCTTAAAAAGTCTGAATTCAAATGAAAACATCCGCAGTGCATCACTTCTTGTCTGTCTTACCTGGTCGGCTCATCAAAGAACATGACCGGAGGGTTGTTGACCAGTTCCATCGCGATGGCCAGACGCTTGCACTGACCGCCTGACAGTGAGCTGGTACGAGTGTGAGCACAGTCGACGAGCCCTAAAGCAGTCAAAATCTCATTCACCTGGGAAGGGAGTGAGAGATGGCCAGATGGAGAGAGTAACGTTATAGCATGTAAAGCAGAATTGTTTTTAGAACTGTACCAAGTTTAAAAAGAGTAGACAAACATACAGTTGCAAGAAAAGGAAACAACTGGACATGCATATTTATATGTTTATGTGTCTGTGTTAAGGGATGAAAAATAAATATAGCAGATACCGGAAAGATATTCCTTTATCATTTGTTTAAAGTTTGACCTGTTTTGTCTCACTTGTTGAAAGAAAAGAACAGGGATGTAACCATTACAAAAAAAAATCTAAATTGATGTTACATAATGTGTTAAATTCTGGTTTCAGTCCACATCAAGAACCCACAAATGTGCCCTACATAGAGCGATGCCAGGAAACTAAATAATGCCTTAGATTTAGTTGTCAGCAGTACAGGAACATCTAATCCAGTGGGTAAGTATGTCCACAGGTTGTCAAGAAAAAATGAATTTCCTTCGTAACTGTTTTAATCTTGGCGAGTAGCAATTAAGCATTTCTTCTTTGCCTTTAAGGTCTGATTTTAAGACAATGAATTGCATCATTTTGGCTCGTGCGTGTCGAGTTGATATGAGATAATTGTGTTGCTCACCAGTTCTTTTTTCACACCCATGGTTTCATTAAGCTTTAAGTTGGCCGATACCTACGGCAAAGAGAAAAAAGTGTCTAATAATTATATATCGATGGGTCGATGGCCCATTCCTGCAGAACACAAAAACATGACCGGGAAGAATTTGAACCGTATAAGACTCACAGCCACTGTACATGTGACAATACCAGCCTTTCTCACCATCATGGCCTCTCTGACAGAGAGGTGTGGCAACAGCAAGTCCTCCTGCATGATGTAGCAGGACATTTTCCTGAACGTCCTCAGGTCCCTGGGTTTTCCATTGACCAGGATCTGACCCTTCATCCCTGCTTCTCTGAGGATCAAACACACAAACCAAATAGTTCACTGGGTTAAAAACCTACTGACCGAATCATGCAACAAAAAAAAACAACTGTAATAGAATAGAGCTGTGTATCTCTACTTTCTCACCTGTACCCAGCTAGAATGTTCATTAAAGTGGATTTCCCAGACCCCGAGGGCCCCATGATTCCTATCAGTTCTCTGTTGCAGAACCTCCCAGAGAGGCACTTCAATAAAGCTTTGAAACCTAAAGACAAAACAGAGGGAATTCAATAGACTCTTAATGACTGAAATCAGTCTCATTTTAATAGACAATTTAACACGTATTTGTGTTTTTGCTGACACTAGTCCACATGGACTGCATGGCTCTGGGCCTCCTTCAAGGATCATTGAGACACCACTCTAGTCTTTTGTGGTTAAGAGGGAGCTGAATCTAAAGACTAAGCTTTCAAATTAATAGTTGAGGAATAGTTGAGGATCCCCATCCTCAACTACGTTGTGAAATGTGGGCAGAGACTAAAAGAATAAAGCTCTTACACAGGCTGCTGAACTGGGTTTCTTCAACTAAATTTGAACTTTCGAATACTTTGTCAACCATGAAATGGGCCATTTTTTTCCAGGACAAAAAAGCAAGAACCTTATCTAACTCTTATGATTCTAATAGGAATTTTAAAACATGAAAACTCATTGGAATTTTTCCAGCTTCTTGTCCATTCACTGACACTCCCCACAGTATCCTCAGTATTTTCTAAAGATTACACTGGAAGATTTAAAGAGAAACAGAAAGATGGTGGTTCTCCTGACCATCCACCTGACACAGAAAGCTTTAATCTCACAAATTGTAGTCTAGTTATCATATAATCTATGGGGTTAAAAAAATCCTCAAAAAGCTTTTCACTGATCCTCATTTTAATCACGTGGTTGTTTCCCCTAATACAATAAGTGTTCAGAAAAAAGATGGGCAGATATAGTTTATGCTACCTCTCCTCCTCCAGCACGGCCCCTCTTGGACAGTGTAGGAAACGTTGATAAACTCCAGATCCACGGCTGACCGCTTGGGTAGGTGTGAGAAACGCTGTGCGTCTGTGATCTGGTTCTCCACTTTCTTCAAGTGGGTTAAGATGGACGGCTCCCGCTGGAGTTGAGACGGCGCTAAAGGCTGGCCGCCGCCATTACACATGACGACCTCCTCCATGGGTATACTCACAGAATCAGGTTCCAGGGCCTTATTGTCCATTTCAACTCTCTTGACAGTGGGAGTGGTGTTAGAGAAACAAAGTAAAAACAAAAAGAGAGATTATTCGTGCTTCATTAGCCGGTGACGAATGTTTTACAATATAAATACAACACAAAAAAATAAAGATGGAGACAAACCTTTTTTAACAGTTTCCCAGGATTTGATTAAAAATAAGCATAACACAGAAAACAACTGAGAATGACAAAATCCCAAGATTTTAACTTCAAGTTCTATTGTTTGACATGGTCAGTACAGAATAAGTCGGTCAATTCTCACAAAAATCCTTACAAAAACAATTTCAGAGCATTGCTAATTGTAAAAATTAGTGTGTAAACCTATGTATGTTGTGTGTTTATGTCATGGCAGTTGCAGAAAAGGCTGGTTGTCATGGGAATTTTGTCCTTTTTCTATGTCTAGTTGGAGCTTCCATTCATTATTTTAAACACTGAAGATCATTCTTTTCAAATTCAGTCATTCTATTGAGGTGACAGGCATTCACAATGCAAACAAGGAATGAACACACAATTTAATCTACCAAACACTGCAATACATTTATCCATGAGATCTACTTTCTTTCTTACAGAGGCCAAATCTATATGGAATTTTCCAACAATGAGACCATGCAGATTGCATAGCTATCCAATCAAAACAGAGCTAGCTCATCATCCTTCGGTCAGAGTTGCTTTTTGTTCTTAAGCTTCACCACGTGTCCATTCTGTAGGTGCCATAGATGTCCTGATGTCGGATACCTGCATAACTACATAATTTCCATCATTCCCAACCAAAGTCTTGGAATGGAGACACCAGTACATTCTTCATGTGAGGTATAACACAACCATGTTAATTCCAAGAAAGCAAATTCTTAGCATCAGCATGATTTAATCTGCCCTGTATTTGTGTCTCCTACTGTAGCTCTACAAATGATAAAGACACTACAAAGACATTAGACCAAATATATTAAAGTATCTATTTTTTTTCCCAAGAAAATGTAAGACAGTCTCAAAACATGAATACACTGATTCAATGATAAAACAGTAACAGCTGTATTTGTATAAAAACTGGAAAGCATAAATATGAAACCAACCATGTGCTTGCGATGTGATTAATAATACCTGAAATGTAGATATGTCTAATCTACTTTGCCCTGCACACACCACTGTAAAAATGGTTCCCAAGTCTGTGGTGGTACAGCAATTTGTCCTTTTTAGACATAACTCTCATTTGATCACTCATGAGGTTTATAATCCCTTTAGGGATTAAAATCGACTTTCTTTTCTTCCCTTAATCTGCTGAGAGCCAGAGGGTGCGGGAGTTACAGCTTGGGAAAAAAAAATCTGCAGACTCAGGTCCACTACCAAGCACCAAGCCAAGGTAACATATGGGAAATTAATTGCCCCCTTCGTTTGTCCTTTCGATCACATCACCGCGTTGATAGATTTCACTGACGGCGAGGAAGGAGAGGCCTTTATTTCGCAGTGTCCTAATAGTAGAGGGGATTGGACGATGAGAGACACGTTACTTCTGCCAGCGTGTCACGAGAATCTTAGATCCAACGGCAATGTTCTCGACTAAAAGGGGGAAAAAAAGAAAGGGAAGGTCCACCCAAGGGAAAGAACTCAGTGACCTGAGATAGTTTCTTTCAAGATTATCTTGGGTACCACTGCTACACTTATTTCTGATTTGTTGTACAGGCTGGATTAAATGCCCAGTGAAATCAAATCAAACGTCCAAGTCCGCGCAGCTAAAACGGAGACATCAAAGTGATGATGCAAACTCAGAGTGAAAGCGGTAATCTTCAGATTTTAGTTTTCCAGGTTTCTGTTAATAGCCTGGACTATGATGACCGACCAGATTCTGATTTGTCCTTCTACAGCTCCACAATGAAGAAAAAAAATACCCATATGTTGCTAAGCAGAGCTTCGGTCCATCCTTGAAATGACCACTTCCCACTTTGCCATTCAGCACGTTACTCAGAACTAAACAGATAATTACTGAGAACTGACCAAAGAATAGTATCAACTGGCATTATTATCATTAGAACTTGCTTTAACATTCCTTGAAGAATTTGTGAAGATACGTGCTCTCCTTTTTCCAAAGCTGTAACTTTATAAAGTAGCAACTACAGGTAGGAGTGTGTGATTCTAGATTATGTTGGTAGTCAAAAACCTTCTAAAGTAGCCATGAGGACTTTCCACCATGAAATACCCAACTCAGCTCAATTGTACATGTTTCTTTTTTAAATTTCATTTCCATTTTGGACTGTCAGCTACTAACTTCCATTCTTAACAACTCTTTTTTTAGGGATTCAACTGGGCCGAGTTGTGCCGACGGCAGACTTCTCGCATTGGCCAGGGAAGTCACATGACTCAGGCAATATTGGAAGCAACTCTTTCACAAGACCAATGAAAGTGGCGACAATAAACGTCAACAATTTGGTAATTATCAGTGATGTAAATGTCTGATACATGGACCAACACAGAGGTTTAGTTGATATATTGTTGTTCATTGTTATCTCGTGTTTGTGATGTAATCCAATGGCATATTCGGTCTTTCTGTTGAGACCTTATTTGTAATGTAAAACCAGAGTCGTGCCGAGGTGAGTAGAGCTTAGTAGTAATGAATGGAAAACCCCCATTCGAGCCCTAGAAGCCAGACCTGACCGCAACAAATTGACAACATATTTGAAATCAGGTTTTATTTTTAAACCATATCACGAAGATGATAAGGGACATTAAAAAAAAGTTCAGTACTTCTAATCCTAGTCAGCAATTAAACCGGAATTTGAGTTGCTCACAATTGGAAATCTAAACAATAGCAGTTGATCAAGAAAATAAATCCATCCTTTGTCTGAGAGCTATGCCTTTTCATTATGATGTGACAATTTTTTTCCAAAATTATTCGAGAACTCTAAGCCATATGTTACGGTTTGCCATCCTGTTGTGAATTATGAAGGTTGAACAAGTCATGTGCATTATTTGCGTATTGTATATATTGTATAACAGGAACTGTCCATAAAAACAGATAATTACAAAATAAATCGTGTTTCTACTGTTCGAAAATGTAAAGATGAGAGAGTTGTATAAACATATTGATAAGCAATTACCTAAATAAAGAAAATCATCATTACAATCTAACTCTATCTTTAGTGGATGTGACAACTTACTTTAACATTAAAACTACAGTCAACAGTTTCATCCTGCTGATAATAGATAATAGATTTTGTATTTTTTGTTCAGTTCAACACCTGTCTCAATCATTTTATTGGCTGTTCGCTGTTTTTTCATGATTACTTTATGTAATCATCCCTTCTTAATGTTTAGAATATTTTAAGAGATTTACAATAACAGTAAATTACTTAACTCTTCCATGCATAGCGGTCAATACAGTGGACAGCTATTTAAAAGCCATTTTCTTGTGGTTTTTTTATATCTTAAATGCACATAGGCCACTGAAGTAAACACTGGTGCATCATGCAATAAGTCCACTCTAATGTACAGTTAAGGAGGAGCTGAGATAGATGAAAAAACAAATTAACGGGTTAAATAAGCAGCAGTGAGAAAAGGGATGAGATAGTCGTGAATATAAGAATAGGATGAGAGTTGCATGCATAGTTCTGTTTGTGCATTCTGCTATCAAATGTCAAAATAAGTTCCTATTGTAACATATGATATTTCATTAGTAAGAAATCTTGAAACGTATGTTGTACATTTGAGTGAAGATCTGGAAAAATCCTTAAATACACTAAGAATTGAACTTTCTTCATGCATAAAGAAAGTCAAAAACTGGGAAAAAATCTGACTGAAATGACCAAAATAAATGCATGAAGGGGTTAATACCCCTGACATGAGCAATTCGTAGAAATTCAACTGTGTTTAAGTAGAACTTTAATCTTTGCACTTTTCAAATTTGAGACCGCATCTCCCATAGTTTCCCAGTGTTACAACCTTTTTTTTAATGTTATCACTTTGATAATTTTTTGTCTGTGATGATGCTGGCGATCTGTGTTTAGTGTTCATACCCCAGAGGGAGTATTGTGAAGCAAGTTCAACACAGCCGATCTTGTTTTGTGTAAGCTGGCTTTCAAAAAGCTAAACCTGCACCCAGAGATATTGTATGATGTTACAGAGTAGGATTTTTTTTTTTTTTCTGGTAACTTGGGCATATCTCTTCAAGTTCTGTAACGCCCACACGAATGGAAACATTTTATTTGTCATGTGACTCATCTTTGCACAAAAGAGACAGACCGTTACACACAGGACGAACAGATGGGGAGAAAGAAAAGGTATAAGAAGTCTAAAATTCATAATGTGAATAAAACGGGAATAAAAGTTGATTAAACCTGTTAAAGGTGTAAATTAGTAGGTGAATATCTGCTTACTGTTTACTGCTGAATGTCAAGTCCCGTGTCAAAAATATTTGAAATCATGTAAGTTACTGACAACCCTTTTAAGTCATTTTAAAAGATTGAATATTTAGATCTACACTTTTAAATTTGTGAAACAGGGTATTAACAAAGGGCGTTTTTGTAAGCCTTGTTGACTACTCAAAACACTTGTACAATACAGGCATCATTCACTTATTCACATTCATATATTATATCTTTTTTAATGGCTGCAAAATTCTTCTATTCTATAATCACATGCACACTGACTGGTGTTCAAAAGTGACACAAAACAACAAAAAATATAAAGATTCAAGGCTTTTATGATGACCATAAAAACTAACTAAACCGATACAGGTAGACGCAAACACTAAACATTATTTGCCAGATAGACAAATTGACTTGAAATTAAATACTTTATTTAATTTTGTTCATGATTCAAGAACTAATAACCAGGTATTTAATTTCTTGGCGTCCTGCTGAAAGGGCAGGATGAATATTGGATGTTTTTGTAGAAGAGGCTGGATATAGTGATACTTACAAGTATTTCGAACAATAATATGCATTTTTTAAGCTTAATAAAGACTTTCATTTCACTTACACTGGCGGATCATTTTCAAAATGATGACCAGTGGAAGAACCAAAACTGCATTGTAATGCTTGCAGAAGA